TTTGGTGAAGTTGTGCGTATTGTTTGTATGTGTAGCTAACTGGTAATAGTACGTAGCTGTTTTCTTGGTGAAGGTAAAAATGACATAAGTGTGTCATGGTGTGTAGGAAAAGATTTTGAATCAGCTGACTAAAAGACATGTGAAATATGAATTTCTTAATTGTTTATAGTCACTAAAAAGCATAACTTGTGCCAGGGTGGTACATCAATTCAGACTGTGCAGATGTGCTACACTGTATTGTAACACCTCTAAACCTGAGATGTTCATTTCTATGTTTCATGTCTAAACAAGCACAGAAGGTCAGCGGAAGTGCTTTGGTAGAGACAAAAAAAAAAATCCTTCTGTTCCTTTACCAATTTTTTTTTTTTAATTGATCTTTGATTAGAAATGTAACTACATAGAGTAAACCTATGTAGAGGTAGTATTGCCTGTTGAACCTTAAATACTTTAAGGACTTCTCAAAAAGTTGTTTCTTCCCCTGTTTAGCAAAAGCTTCATCAGGCATAAACTGTCAGTATCACAACATTACAAGGCCTAGCCTAGCTGCTCACAGAAATATCGGAATATATGTCGAAGGAAACATATGGCTTTGTAACTTGGGAAGGGAGTTATTTAGTAATAGAATTTTATTTAGAGATTGCTCGTTAATTCTTTAAATCAGCTTTTGGTTACAGGTATTTACCGAAGTTTATACAACATAAATTGCATACAACTACTGCTCAAATTATTCATTATGAATTATGTATTTGAACAAATACAGGCCTTTAATGTGTTTGCAGCTGATTTGTAGTCAGTTCATAATTTCTATGTCTGCGCTCATTTTTTCAAGTTGTTTACTAGTGTAGGTTAGAAGTGGGATTTTACATAGCTCCGAGTATTTTCTATGCAGTTTTCTGTCTGTATGATTTATTGCCACAGGTGCTTTTTTTCTCCCTCCTTGACAGTCTCTGTTAGTCCACCTGCCTAACAGTCTCCTGAAACATTTACTGTGCAGGTAATGGAAAAAGTAGTATAAACTGCTGGAAAAAGTTACTCTGCCTCAAATCTTTTTCTGCAAAGATTAGTTCATGCAATGGCTGCACTATCATCTAATAAACTCTCGTGCATTCCTCTTATCTGAAAATGCCATGTGTCCAAATACTCATGACTAAATAAACATATGCATAGTTTGGCATAGTTCATATCAAAGAAGTAGAATGAACAGAGAGAAATATTCCAGAACAAAATGCTTTTAATAAAAAATTATGTTTTCTGAAACAGGAATGTTTCTTTCAGATTCATTTCTGAGAAATGGCTGGAAGCCCTGCTGATTCTGGACCCGGACATCCTAGTGCAGCCCTGCTCATCCTCACACTCATGGTGGACCTTTTGAGCCCAAATGGACCCAGGCAGTTCTCCTGATTCTTATAACGGATCAGTTTCAAATCATGGTAGTGGAAGTTTCTGCTCACTCTTCAATCTGTTGCTCGTTTAATCAATGAGTGGTAGCTATATGATGCGCAGGGGAAAGAGCTGTGATTAACATAGCACTTGCTTTGTCCTGGAAGTGATACAGACTTACAGTAATGCCACTTCAGCAATCAAGATCAATCAAGTCATAACATGCAGCCAGGGAGAGCTGAGCATGGAAGCACTGTCTAAGGTAAGAGCTCACGGTTCCAGCTCCCTGATGTGCGTCTGTTGCAGGTCCTTGTCTGGGGCTGTGCAGCTACAAGTGCAGTGGAGCCTTCCTTTGAAAGCTGTGCAGCTCTTCAAAGCTTTCATATGAACTTCTGAAGATCTTAGACAGAAAGGTGTGCTGCTGCTTTTATCTGTGCTTTGCTTAGTACTGTCGTGGCTGGCCTGACTTACATTTGAATGTTATTTTTCAGTACAATTTTTGTCTTCTACTGGAGAGCTAAGCCAATCCTTAACACAATTAGCTAAAACGAAAAAAAAAAAAAAGTGCCTGTAAGGGTGCTGCCTATTAATGTGCCTTGCTAGTTGATATGCTCTGGATCCATGGTCAAGAGGCAGAATTCCAGTTAACGTCCTTAGCTCATGGGAGCTCCTCACAATGGGAGCTGGGGGAAAAGCCAAATGGTGGGGGGCTCTCAGCTCTGATCCCTGGCCCTGTGGAAAATGACTCAGGGATCACTTTCCATGGATCAGCAGCCATGATCCTCTACTAGGAGACTTTGTTGCCAGGACAACTGTTGCCAAGACAGACTGGTGCTCTTTGGGAAAAAATTCACTGTGTTATTTCTGTACACCAAACCTTCTCTGGTATCTACTGTTAGACCCAGGCAAGCTCTTGGAGTTTCCAGGTGGAAACTGAGAAACAGTAGGAAGGGCAAGCGACTCCTACCACCAAGAGGGAGCTTGCAATCCTACGTGGATCTGCACAAAGTTCATGGTCTCTCAGAATGTGCATGTACTTCACAAATACGGGCCCCACCGCCCAGTGTTGTGAGCCTCTTCAGGCCACAATATCAAAAGGAATTCCAAAGCTTACGATTCTCTTCAGCAACATTTAGTTGGGAAAAGATGAGGTCCTTAGGGATGTTCTGTATTTTAGTGCACAGCTATAAAAGTTTTTATGATTTAGTACAGAGGCTGTGATCAGCACCTTGCGTGTGCTGATGAAAGCAGCAGATTCCAGCACCTCACCCTATCTGTGAAAACGTGTTTTGTAGAATTATTGACATGCCCTCAGAGGAGGACTCTGTTCCCTTTGAAATAAATTGCCTGTAATTTTGTAATTTTATATCACCTGAAAGATTGCCTTTGGTTCACTTTGTTAAAACTATAGTGTTACTATATGGAAAGTCAATAATCTTTTTTTGGGACAGAGGTTTCTAAAGTTTATGATTCAAGACTACTGCTCTGGTATTGGTTTCCAAGTTTTACATTAAATAAATCTGGTTTAAGGAGAAAGTTAGATTATGGTATAATATTAAAAAATATTCAAGTCAGTGGAAGTAAAGTAGTTAAATGAATCAGCTAGTCTCATGAATACATATGCATATTTAACACTCTTGTTGCTGTCCACCAGAGGTCACTACCTGGCCACTTTATTCATTACTGGCTATGCTTTCAATTGAGTGGTTAGCCTCTCTTGTTCTCCCTTGTCGCTGACTTCTGGATCAGCTGTGCAAATGCAAGTCCAGAAAACCCTTCTAATGACAGACTCTTTTCTAGAATCAGTAAAAGACAGAAAGGCAAGATTCTGTTGAAACAGGAAAAGGATTCAATTGATCCCATAATCACACCTAAGACACATCCCTGAGTGACTGATCTCAGTAGCTACCCCGTGCCTTGCAAGCTGTACTGTGCATGTTAAAGAATTTTTAGAACAACCAGACGCTATCGTGTTCTAGCAAATCCATGTGAAATGTATATCTGGATTCTTATCTAAATTGTCACAAAATCTTTCTCAATGTGCACTGAAATTGAGAAGCAAAAACAGCTTCTGATACTTCAACAGCAAGTGTGTCTCAGCTGTCATGTGCTTGGAGAGGCCAGTGCCTGATATGTTTTCCTTTTAGTATGAAGAAAACCCTCCAGAATTCTTTACCTGATTTATCAATTAACAAAATGAGCAACTTGTCTTACAAAAGTGCCATTCTACATCATCTTTTGTAAGTAAAGTGAAAATCTGGAAATCAAACAGTATTTTATGAGCTCCTAAAGCGTTGGATGCCTTTTAGTTCAGGTGGCTGGAAGCTCAAGCAGTTAATATTCAAAGGAAAAGAAGGAACTCAGTATGTGTGTTTTTAGTAGTCTGTTCCCTGTGTGAGGAGACACTATGTGAACTGTGAATTTTGTCTGAAACCTCAAACACACCTGAACTTCCTCTAAGTGAAGAAAATTGTTTTTGTCAGGTGTGCTTCAGATCGATCTCACTGTCTTACTGCTTCTCTAAAGATTATGTTGAGCCTTGCTAACTCTGAACTATAGACCAGCATCTCTGTAGGGTCTGTATTTAGCAAAAAACAGGAATAGGTTTTGGTTTATAAGCACAGGTCCAAACTAAAATGCGATCATATTAAAGTTTAAGGGAGGAGGAGTTGGTATCAGCTTTGTACCTAGTTTCCTGGCTCCTTGGCCCCTGATAGAAAAATAAATAAAAGAATATCTGGTTATCATTAACACCCACTGGAAACTAGCTGGGAATGCCTTGTTTAGGTCTCTAGTTTCAAAGACAGACTCCAGTAACATGAACTCAGACTTTTCTACGTGTTGATGCTTGTACTAATTGCTACAGTGAATAAAGGGTGAGACTATAATTCTAATCACAATATTATTCCTACTCCTACTTATCTGTGTTAATTGCTATGGCGTTGTTCCTAGTGTGTCCTGCTATAGAAATTTCCGTCTGTCACAGCAATTGATACTTTTTCTTTGCTCTTAATATATAGAGTGGGTGCAGGACATCCACAGATTTTATTAGTAGTGACTCAAGGTGGTGGCCCAACACAGGAAACAACTATTCATCCACATAGTCTTTGGGGCTGGCAGACAAGTAAAAAGAAATATACTAAGAGATTCAGCTCTGCTCCATCCTTCTTGCTGTGCAGAAATACAGATGCATGGTAGGTTACAAAGGCAAGGGATAAATCACTACTAATTCAGAAGAAAAAGATCCTGCACAGGACAGCTTCCACTTTACATCTTCCTAAGGGCTTTAATTAAGCCCTCTGTATGAGCACCTATTTAGAGCTGGGCTCCATAATGCCTGCTCTGAGGGTTTTCTGAAACAAGGTTATTCCTAGGGTCTTGTTCTTCAGAACTTGGTATTCCTGCCTCTAGTTGTCTCAGTGAAAAGTTTGAAATACTTTTTAAGCTCCTGGTTTGGAGATAAGAGCACACTATTGGTCTGACATCAAAGTGAATCAATGAGCTGGCTGTGCATTTCTATCCACTGCTTTAGCCATATATTCTGTTGCAAGTCTCTAGAAGCTGTCACCCTGCTATGCTGTGATGAAAATAATTGGATGTAGCTCCCACTTCTATTATTCCCATATGATATTGCTGCTGGTGAAGAGTACTCAAAACTGATGGCTCCAAAGTCAACTTTAAAACTTCAAAAGCCAAGTGTTCTCACGTGCCAGTCTGCTTGCTTCTCCAAGGAAATTTGCAGGGAGCGGCACCATACATCAAAGAGCAGACAGACATAAGAAAAGACCATTCCCACAAAGAGTGATATACAGAAAGAAGGTATAAGATTTCAAGCATCTAAATAGTGAGGAACTGAGTACTCAAATAAAGCTGGAGGAAGGGAAGTCTGTATACAAATAAGGAGATAAAAAATGAAACGACATGAAGAAAACCTCCTAATAATTTTGAGGTAAGAACCACCTGCCCTTATGAGCATTATTTATCACTAGATGCAGGAATGTGCAATAGTCCTGTAAGCTTGGATAATGCGTAAACATGCTGTTGTGCTACAGCTTAGTAACATTTCTAGTGTGTGATAAACTATAGGTCAACAAGATGCTTCACGTGATACTGTTTGTTGTTCTGAGCTAGTGAGAACTGGGAGTAGGGAAATTGCTAAGAACTCTATCTACTACATGCTTCCACTTCTGCAGGAAAGAAACCTTCAAGAATTTCAACAGGGAAAAATAAACCAGATGTTTTAACAGGTTACAAGGTGACAACGTGAATCTTGGATGTCACGTGTTGACAGCAAATGGATACCACATTCAGGTTCCTAGCCACAATAGCAAAGGTTGGTATAGAAATTCCAGCTGCTTATTTGAAGAAATAAATCTCTAAATCCAAATTCCTTTTTAATGGTGTTGGGTCTGCAATGATTTTAGCAAATCACATTTGAAAAACAGCAGTGCTCTGAATTGATATTTTCATTTTATTTTTACTGACACTAAATTTATTGTAGCTCCTGAACAGAAAAGACAGTGATGCAGCCTGGCAGGCTACAACATCTGTATCTGACTCGATCTCATCGGAGAATATCAGCCCCAGAAATAGGACCTTAGGAACAAGATCACTCCCACCACTGCTACAGGTATGGAGATTATGATTTGATTTTATTTTGCAGCTGGAGATGTCCAACAGGGCTACCTCACACAGGGTAAGGAAGTTTTCTACAAGCAGAGGTGCCAGAGACATCTCTTCCTCAAAACTGTATTATGTTATTCATTCTGCAGAGCTACCCATGGCAATATCCCCACAGGCACACTATTCTTGCTGTATGTTTCATATCTACATAATGGTACCATAATTGGATGGCCATGCAAGCTCTATTGAGAATTTTAGCCTCATCACCAATTTGAAAATTAAACCATTGACAGAATAAAGCGGAAACATCTTACAGTCAAAATGTGTGGTACCTGCAGGTATTCAACATTTTTGTTGGTTGTACTGTAACACAGTCAATATCTCTCCAAGGCCATGCAAAGATCAAAGGGCTTAATCCCAGGATGTCATACGCAATAACATGTAAAGAGGGTGGTAAGGTCGAAGTAGGCAATCGCTAGTGTTGTGCAAGACAGAGATAAGCTAGTAAGCCACCTCTTCCCAAAATAAAGCCCAAAATTACAGCTTTCAGTACAAATGAAAGGGATTTTTTTTTGTCTTGGCAGATTTGTCCTCAAGATAAAATCCATCAGGTGTCTTTTCCAATTCTTCTCTACTACGTTCTGTCACGCTGCCTGTCAGGAAAGCCAACAGAGTGATAGGTAAAGGTGCTGGTAAGTAAAACTCTCTTTTGCTCTGATAACTATTTGACTATACAGAGGCCCTGCAACCCTTGCAGGTACAGACATGCTGCTTAGAAAGGAGTTCTGTTGGCTGCCCCACAAGTCTATGACAAGCTATTGAGGAGGAATGTTAGCAATATGTGCTCTGTCAGTTTAATTTCTGGCCCCTATAAATGTAATATTTACTTTTGAGGAGCAGTTTCCCAGTGATTGACTTAATAGGGCTATCATGTGCTGTCCAACTCAGATTTTGGGGCTGATGACTCAGAGTTGTCACTGCCTTGACTAGGACTGGAGCAATGACTCCTAGCTGCCTTTTCCAGAATCCCTTCTGCACTGTTTACCAGCATTGGGTGAATCACGTCCTAAAGCAGCTTTTAAGGAGGAATGGAAGAATTTCCTGAGATTTATATCTTGAAGTAATAGCTCCTATATCTACTCCAGAGCTAACTAGCCTCCTAAATATAAAAGAATTGTCATTACATCTTTCAGAGCCTGATTTTAATCTCTCTGCTGAGAAATTCTGCAACTGTGTAAGCCTCAGGACCCAAGCAGTGTCGCTACATCGACACTTAGTATGATCCTACATGCGGGATTCTCCATCTTCTCTAAATCTAAATATGGAATGCAAAATCTGGTTTTCCTACTTTTTCTCCCCTATTTTTTTCAGAGAAATTGGGAACATTTTGCATTTTTAACTAAAGTACTGTTGTTGCAAGCTATCATTAATCTATTGGGGAAGTGATTTAGCTGCAAGGAAACCCTGCCTCCAATTTCCCAAAGGTAAACAGGCACTTTGTATCTCCTAGAATAAAGAAATGGGGTGGTCAACATGGAAAACTTTGGAGGTAAATAGGTTGTAGCTTCTGAAGGACAGGTTAGGAGGCAAAAAGAACAAAGATCTGTATGAGAAGGATTCTCTGTAGGGAAAGGAACTTTACTGTGAGCCTAACATTTTGTTGTCAATTTTTCTTTTTTTGGACCATAAATAGTATATTTTTCTTACTGAGTTTGTGGGAGACTGCAGTGATATCAATGTCCGTGGTACTGGATAATTAACACAGTATTAAAATCCACCAGGAAGAAACCCTCAGAGAGAAGAAAAGAACTGGCTTCATTCGTGAAGCTGGCTAAAAAATATAAGCTAAGATTATAGCTGTGTTACATTGGCCATCTAAATACCTTACTGTATTTTATTTTATTATAGGCCATTGCTCTAGATTATGAGCTGAGCCTAAAAGTAGCACAGAGAAGTATATGGAAAAATGGTGCTTCTAAAGCTCTGCCTTTTTTTTTTTTTTTGTAATGATAATGTTCTTACAGAAATTAATATGCTAGTGATTACACTTTGTATTGTACTTTATCAGATAAAACATGACTAGGGAGTCTGCTCTCCATGGGAAATTTTTCCTGAAGCTTAAAGTAAAGAGAAATAAATGATGTTATTACCAATATTCAAGCTGGATTTGATTCCTTACCCTAATTTCTGGTAACCTAGCAGAACTTAAACTTGTTTGCTATTTTAAGCTGACTGATGGAACTGGGAGAAAACAAAGTCAATTGACTTGGCACTCATTTACTATAAAAGTTTGTCAGCTTGTGTTTGCTGTAGGGTTTTTGTTTTTTTGTTGGTGGTTGGTTGGTTTTCAGTTAAACACAAAATACATGGGACATGATTGCATCAAATGTGGCTATCATATGAAAATGCAGGATAAGTTCAGTGGTGCAATTTGTTGAAACATCATGCAGAGCATGATCTTATTGCCTGTTACTAGTCTGCTCAGAGAGGGCAGCAAAGTATTGCAGATCTGGAATCCAAGAGAACCTAAGCTCTGAGGTGTAATACTGAGGAAGAAATGTAACTTATTAATGTACAAGGTATGAAAGGAGAAACCGGGAGGCAATCAGATAATAACTACCTAAACACATGTAAAATTTTGGTCCTTTTAAGCTGTGGGTGTTTGCTGGCACTGAAGACGTTATTAAGAGAAATAGATTAATCAGTATAGATTTAGACATCCTGATAGCTGTGAACAGAAGCATCCCTGCAGAAAGGCAATAGTTCAAGAGTTAAGGATTTGTCCCAAACTGTAACTGTGTGTGACTCATTTGGCATAAAGAGAAATGTTTGAAGTTTACATATACAATGAAGAAAACAGTACAATGGATTTGCAGCATGAGAGATGGATGACTGTTTCTATTAGGTATTCTCATTACACCTTGAGATTTTCATATTCTTACAAGCTTGGCTGTTTCTCCTCTGTTTTTTATACATGAAGATACAACCAGAGTCTAGATGAAATGGTTCAGGCGCTACCCCCTCTTCTTGCTCTTTTGACTGAAAACAGAATATATTTCCTGGGCATTGTAGGCAACTCTTCCCTAGGCAACCCTTTAAAATGATGTTCATGGAGAAATTAGTGATATGAATCTGCTTTATTTTTTGCAGAGCTTTGGCCATACCAATGACTCTCCTTCAGCCATTCAGTGCCCTGGTACTTTGGATTTCACTGATGTTGGTAATGAGTTCAGTTAACACAGATAAACCTGAAGAGAATAGGTATTCCTGCCCGGTAATTCAGTGCAGTGCTCCTGCGGTCAATGGCTTACCAGGCAGAGATGGAAGAGATGGTCCCAAAGGTGAAAAGGGAGACCCAGGTACAGAGCTAAGAGCATTTAGCAATACTTCATTTTTAACACTGCCTACCATCTCTTTAGTTTTATTTTATACTTCTTCCACTCCTTCATTTGTGTTTTTTTTTTAACATATCTCCTTTTTTTCTGTCCCATTAACTCTCTGTAGATTATGTACAATTTCAGGAATCTATCTATAAAGCACTTTCTGCATTTATAATTCTAGACTGGATACTTGGCTTTTAAGAAATGAGTAATAATAATAATAAATAAATGAGAACCACATTTTCGCAGCAGCCCATAAAACAGAGATGCAATGAGATTTTGATCTGAATGTACCATCTGTACTCTGAACCACTTACAGAGTTGCCTACAATACCATACTGAATTATGTCTGCTTTTCCTTTCCGGGGGCCAGCTCTCAAAACCAGAAATCATGCTTGCTAGAGGTAGCTACTAATCTGATGATCATAATTGGATTGCTTCAAATTCACTAAGTCCCAACAACTGAATTCCCCTAAGACATGATGTGTCAAACAATTGCTGCAAACAACAAACAGATCAGCAAGGGCTATGTGTCGCATGATAGAACCAAGTCACCAGCTCTCCCAAGATGCCAAATCTTGGGAGATTTGTCCAAAACATTTAATGTTTGTCCAAACAGTCCAAACATTTAGTAAGTGCATACAGAGTTGTATACTTTCTTACCATATCCTGTGTTGTCAGGTGCTTACCATTAGATAATTGCTTTTCAGCAGCAAAGCAAACTCTCATCAGTACCCATACCACTGCATATGATCTAAGACATAAAATTTCAGTGGTGTGGATTGATATGCTGTATACACATTTTCAGTGGCACATATCCTCAGTATGCCCTCTGCAATTTCATAGGTGAAATAAGTAAATCTAGCTCTACCTGTTTAAATAACTGTTTCAGAGGTATCCTTAACCTTTATCATTATTTAGCTCATTGTCTAAATAATATATTTTGAGTGGTGTGGTTGGTTTTAGAGCACGTGTGCCTCTGCAATAACAAGAGAAAATATTTATTTCATTGGATTTTCATTGTCATAAATAGATGCAGTACGGAATTTTCCATCAAAGTGATTTTTCATTGAAGTAATGGTGTAGTAATGGTAAATATGTTCTTAGCAAATGAATATTTCCACAGGAACAGTTTTCTGGTAGAGGTGAGGGTGGTATTTGACCCATGATGAAAGAGTTAAAGATTCAGACAAAGATGAATTGAAATGTGAGTGATGACAATTACAAGGTAATATAGTGGTCTAGTCCCTTGGGGATGTTGCTAGATGCCACATCCCCCTCCTTTCCGCTGAGTTAGGACTCCTGGCCATGCTCTGTTTTGCCTCCTTGAAGGTCAAGCTGCATATCGAGTATTATTATTCTTAATATATTGTTCTTAATATATCTTACTCTGGTTTTGTTTGTTGTTTTTAAAGCTCCATAGAAAGCTGAATATCCAGCCTCCATTGTTTCTATGAATAGGTGTCACTTTGAATTTGGGGCTAGTTTTGTGTCTTGTATACAAAACTCAGAAGTTGATTATTTCTCAGAACAAGGTCATCAGGAATAAAGTGCATATGCATCTTACGGGGCTTCATAAAAATCTAAAATAACAAGTGAGTATTAAGAAATCATGGGTGACCAAGAAGTCATCTTATGCTCTGCATTATTTCTATGGCTCCTAGGTGAGAATGTAGGGGCTTTACTTTGCTTTTCAAAAGCTTCCTTGAAGAGGAAGACTGATGGATGGCTCTGTCCACATCATCTGTTTCCTGCTTATTTATCAATGGTAACTGGTTGTTCCAAAACAAATACCATTTTATCCCCTATTCCCAGCTGGACCTTGCAACCTATCTTCTAGGAGTGTCTTCTGTCTCTTTGTGCCTTCTGCACACCATTGCCTGTTGTTAAACAATTCCTGTGTTTGTCATTCCCTCCAAGCAGTAAGAAAACATGGTGGGAGAATTGTCTCAGAAAACAATAAAGCCATTTTCTTTTAAATCAAACTCTAGGAGAAGGATTGAGAGGTCTGCAGGGTTTTCCTGGGAAAGCAGGACCTCCTGGAATGAAAGGAGTTGTAGGACCACGAGGAGAGAAAGGACAAAAAGGAGAACAAGGAAGTAAGAAATAAATTTCTCATGTTTCTATAATCTAGTTTTCAATCTGTTATTATATTTTCCCTGAAATATTTGTGTTAATGTCTGATATTCTTATAACATCATTTGAGGGAAGGTGTGATTCACACAAGTGTGAGGAGCAGAAAGATGAACTGTCTGTTACTTAGGAGATGAGTTGCCCAATATAACTTTTTTGTGCCTGGAATGAGTCATTACTTTATTGTCTGTGAATGAAATAACAAACCCTCTGACTCATGTTATAAACAGCAGTTTACCTTTCATTCTTTGACTGATCGTATGTTTTCTATTTTAACTTTAACTCATTTAAAATGCTTACATGTGTGTTTTGCCTTTGAGAACTGGGCTTTCCCAGCTGCATAGGGGATGACCTTGTCAGCCCTGAAAATTCAAAGTTCACCCAAGCATCCATCCCACTAAGGGATGCGGCTCTCCCAGTGGCACAGTTTCCCAGGGAACAAGTCTGCAATGTGGCCTGTGGTTTCTGCTCTGGAAAACAAACAGTTCTCTCACATGGCATCACATTACACCAAAGACAGTAGTTGTGTAGTCGTTGTAATATGAATTACTAAATAATACCTTAAACTTCTAGTTGTAGCAAGTGATGGCCTGCAGAGACAAGTGACTGCTTTGGAAACAAAACTCAAGGTTCTGGAAGATGAATTAAATAGATACAAAAATGGTAAGATACGATCATTCTTTTGTTTTCTTTGTGGCTTTGCGATATGATGGGCATGCTTGTGCTGGAGAAGGAACTGAAAACAGTAGGGTAAAACAAATATTTCAATTTTCTCTTGTGTCACTCATGGGAGATGGTCATTACTTAAACGCTTTCTCACTGCATACTTTACATCCATCCTGAACTAACCTGCCAAACTTCAAGGATCTCATTGCCAACATACAGCTCAGGGGCTTTGTTACATGAACTGCAGGACCGGCTAATGTTCTCTGGTCATTTGTGCTTTAAGTGGTGTGTTATCTCTCTCTCACTGCCTCAGTTCTAGATAGTTTTCTATGAGTAGACAAGGGTTGGGATGCTGTCTGTGTAAGCCTGGCTGTAAGTAATTTCCCAGGAGATACTGTGTGAAAATTTTTAAAGAATGTCTCATCCTTGCATTATAATTACTGGTACAAATACCACAGTAGGAAAGGCACAGAGTCCATTACTGTTCCTAGGTTAATTTAGAAGGAAATGGCACAGTCTGCAATGTAGCACAGCACAAACATCAGCAGAGTAAAGTCATGTAGCTCTGATCATCCTTCCAAGGGGGGTGTCCTCCCTGCAGAAAGCACAACTTTGAAGCCATAGTTGTGTGAAAAGCCTGATGGTAACCTGAAACTGGGGCAAGAAGCTGTAGGACGTGGAGAGGCTGAACAGCTGGTAGCAGTAATCCCTTTAGCCATCTCCCTTTTCTCCTGTGCTTGTATATCAATGCCCTAGAAAAGGGTGTCTAAAACAGGAGGAGAGCAGAGGCTTCCTTGCCCACAGGAGCATTGCACTGTTTCCATTCTCACAGTATCAGGGAAAATGTAACTATGCATATGTCACAGGCTTTGTATAGTTGCTATAAGGTGGTGGACAGACCTCATGCTAATCCTGGAAACATGTTTGAGAGAGTAAGTTAAAATAACTGGCCTGTTACAGACAGCAACTGCATTTCAAAAGAGGTATTGCAATCCCTGTTTTATCTACTAAACAATCAAAAGCTTCACTTTCCACTGTTTTTTCATGAAAACCTGGCAGGTGTGTGAGCTACAGATTTCTATTTCTCCTGAGATTAGTTAAATTTTCAGGACAAATATGTGGTTTTACAGACTTGCTGAAGCTGTTCCTGTGTCTCCTCTTTCTGCTCTATTGCTTTAAACCCTGAATTTCATTACAGGCTCTCAGCTTTAGTTTGTGAGATACCAGGAATGTATGCAATAAAGCAGAAGGGTACAGAAGATCTCCTAATTGCAGCTCGGTTCCTATGCAGGAATTTGAATTGATCTCTGGTTTTTGCAATGAAATCTGGCAAGCTATTTTGTCATGCTTGTGATTTGCCTTAGAGCATGAGCTCTTAAGGTCCTGATTCAAGAACCGTAATAATGTATGAACCAGGAACAAAAAATATTAAAACAGGACTCGTGATCCAGGTCTTGTGAAAACCCAGTTTTCCTAAAGCATGGATTTGCTATTTCCAGATATTTCTTTTGTTTGACTTCTGTTGGGTTCTGTCTACTACTGCAGTGAGTAGTCTGTTTATAACTGGTGTTAACTGTGTACAAAGTACAACTGTGATATTATGGAAAATAACTAAAGTTATATAATAATAGTTATATAAGTATACCATCCTCAATTTATAGTGAAAGTCAGTTTGATGGTTATTTTTGTTTCTAGCTTTAATTTTAAAGAACATCAGAAGCATTGGTAAAAAAATGTTTGTCTCAACCGGCAATCAAGACACTTTTGAAAATGGAAAATCCCTTTGTGCGAGAGCTGGAAGTACACTTGCTTCTCCTCGGAATGATGCTGAGAATACAGCTTTAAAAGACTTAGTGAGACCTGCAAGGCAAGCTCATATAGGGATATCTGATGCACAGACTGAGGGCAGGTTTGTGTACCTGAGTGGAGGGGCTGTAACTTACTCAAATTGGAATACTGGAGAACCAAATAATCAAAAAAATGAAGACTGTGTGGTAATATACGAATCTGGAAAATGGAATGATGTGGACTGTTCAAAGACACAGGCTTTAATTATCTGTGAATTCTCGAGCTGACAGATCTGAGAAAATCAACGTTTTTGTTCTCAGTTGACATAGAAGTTTGTTGATACAGAAGTTTGTTACCATTTATGGCCTGGAAAAATCAGAACCAGCATGTATGTATAATTGTTTTACTTTTGACATTCAGTTTTGCATCTCCTAATGAAGTAGACCTGTTTGTTCAATCACTATGAATTAATTTGTGCTTACCACATGGGCTGCTGGGGATCTAACGTTCGTATAGGCTTCTGGAGGGCTGAACTCCACGTCAGCTCTGATATGGTCCCCTGGACAGGGTGCCTACCAACATTTGAAATGTGTTTTGCAGTTTGTGGCCTACCACAGTCTGACCTGGTAGCTTAATCTGTACCTCATGAGTTGTTGAACCTAAAATGTGAGCCAAAATAAATTTTACACATGAAAACCATGGAACTCTTTTTTATAAGCATGGAAATTTAGGTAAGGTAGAGCATTTAAAACTAGTTTAAGGAATATAATGGGCAATTTGTAAAGCAGTGATTATTATTAAGTAAATGATTAAGCTCAAAAAGAGTATTTCTGCTCCATTGCAAACATATATTCCAAGCAAACTGCATCAATCAAGCAGGCATTTGTACATGTATGTGGACTTGTGGTTCAAAGACCATGTCATGATCTGGGCCATATTATCATCACACATGGGAATGTGATTTCCTCAGAGTCTGAGAAGAAAAGTGCACGTCTATGTTTTTCTCAGTGTTTCTGTTTGGAGTCTACGCAGCTGACAGCAGCCCAGTGTTGGAAACAATAATTGGTGAGTTCTCATGTTGATAAAATAAAAATGTCTGTGTACAGCTAATGAGGCAGATGATTTGGAACTCTGCCTTCACGGAAGACCCATCTTATTCCTCTCTGTCTTGGTTCCACAAGTCTGTTTAAAATTCCTATCTTTATAACTTTTCCACCTTTTCCACCTTGTGCTTCTATGAGAAGTACTGTGACCTACTAGGTGACCAACAACCTTCACCTGAAGTGTGTCTAGAAGGCCCCTGGCTGTGCTCCCTGCACACAGGAGACAAGTCCTCCTTACATGTGTGTGTGTTTTTTTGCAGTTGCGTTGAGGTAAATTGAAATGCTGCCATAGACAGCACCTAGATTACTCGGTCAGCCTTCACAACTGAAATGGAAAGGTTTACTGTAGAGACTGTCGTTATGGTAATATATTTAACTGTTATTGTGTTTGCCAGCAATAAGGGGTAGAGCTTTTTTATTTAGTCAGAGACTAAGCTCTCACCTTGCTCTACACAGAGGCTCTGTATGGAGCATGAAGAACCTGAGGCTCTAATATAGTCTCCAGGAGTTGTCAAGAGTAAAATATGGTCCTAACTGAGCTTAGTTTAAGACAGCGCCAAAGTTAAAACAGTCCAACACTATGTCCCAAGAGAGACCTTTCAGGCAGTATCCATCTACTTCATCCGCTCAGCTCACGTGTTTTACATCTCTTGTTTTCATTGCCTAATACAGTGTCAACCTTTGTAAGTAATGACAGTTCTTATATCTGTACCAGGATATGTAAGTGCAAAAGAAAAACAATTACTGCACTTGTTGAAGGTTATGTATTTTCTATAGTGTGATATATCTGCTGATCTGTATATTTTCCGTGTCATTACTGGCAATGTATCCCTAGAGTTTCTCAAGTGAACTGCATTCCTTTCCGTCATTAATTGGCATCCTGCAGCTATGAAAACAGGAACTTTTAAAAATGTGCCTGGAGATTTTAATCAATATTTATTACATGAAAATGCAGGATAAGGTGCAGTATTTCAAAGACAGATGTGGGTTAATTTAGGACAGAAAAGAGACATTCTAGAGAGGTAAATATAGTCCTGTTGCGCTGCTAGGTGTAAGGATCAGTGGTAATTCAGTGTCAGGTGCATGTACTTGTAAAGAATAAGGAAGTGTGCTTTAAGATTATCTGCACAAGCACTGTGCTATGTTTGGTGACCATTTCATTCATAGCTGAACTAAGAGCAATGCCTCCAGTAGGCCAGCCAATGAATTACAATGTTTTATCTGTTAATTTTAAAAGGTTTTAATGTAGTATTTTGCAGATGTGAATGGCTCTGTTCTCCCACCTTCAGACACCTAAACCATCAAGTTGTCCTCCATGAAGATCAGCTATGCAGCACCTAATAACAGATGCCCAAAGGTAATCACAGCAAGGAAAGATTAAAACCTGCAAATTACATGTTAGTAGCTATATCTATTATAGCACTTGTACCTCATTCATTTTGTCATTTCAAAAAATTGATCCTGCTTCGCAATGCTAGAAATGAAGTGGCAAAATATTAATGTGATATGAGCATTCCTCTTTTAGACTGCATCTACAGCTTCAGTCATGCTGAGTCGAACTATTACAGGATGTCAATAAAAGCTTTTGGGATCTGTAATAGTTACGAGAGTAATGACAGGAATACAGATAGTAGTGCTTGTTAGATACACTTGCTTGTAGCACTGTAGATAGTGCTTGTGGATACATATATGATATTTCATTGCACACAAGTATCATAAAGCAAATATGTTCTAACCAATTAAAAGCTGTCTTTCAGCAGAAGTTTTGTAGATATACTATTCCTGATTTCCATGTCATTCAATGTATCAAGAGTCCAGCTCTGAAATGTAATTTAGACTAATTCTTACAAGATTTTGCCCATTGAATTTCTAATGCACTTGTTTGAACTTCATGAAACTTCTTCTAACCCTATATTGATTATTTGCATTTAGACAGCACTACATGTTATTCAGATGGGATCTCTACAGACTGAAAAAACTGGTTTCAGGTAAGTGCAAAAATAGTTGTATGCTAAAAATACAGAAGAAGTTCATGGAAGTGGAGAGGATGAATATTCGTGTTGTAGGTAAGCTCAGTTTCATACGGTCCAAAGTTATTAGATAACTATCCTTATTACCAGGTTTTGCATGCGAGAGGTGTATGTAGCCTTCAGAAAGGAGAATGTGTATAAAGCCTGAGCTGAGGTTTTTGAATTGGTTGCTTCAGGTAAATATCTAGTCAGACCAATTTTGAGTTATTGAGTTCTTTGGCCTAAGTTATACTATTTGAAGCTGTTAAACTCAGTGAGGTACTCTCAGAGGTTCCCTCAGTTCCAACCTTTGTCACCAGGCATGTCAGGAACACTATTCTTTCTGTAGGAACACTGTTCTTTAGTAGATGCTGAACAGCAAAAAGTGAGTTTGAAATTGTTTTTCTAGAGGCCTAAATCAGCATCCCTGATGACCACTTAATTTTGCATTAATTAGAAACCAATCTGTATTTGCTGTTATGCCCCTGATTAGAACCATCTCATTTGGTGCTAATATGACCTATTTGGTGCTAATATGACCTATTTGGTGCTAATATGACTCTAATATGCAGAGCTTCTAAGTAATTCAAGATGAGAGCAGCATTTGTTAATCAGCTGCAGGGCTTATTTTTTTGAAACATAGCACAATTTTAGGCTAAGTTTAGGCTTAGGAAAAGCTATCCTGTCACCTGTGAAAAAACATGATTTCTGAAAAGCTCTTTTCCTTCTTTTCAGTTTTCAAGTGGCAATTTTCAATGGGAACTACAAGACGGAAACAGGAAACAAGTTCAATCAGTAGCAACTTGTACTTACTGCTGTCCTTTTTAATCAAAAACTATAAATGTGGGGGAGGAGTGGATAATTTATGCTCAGAGCAGAGGAGAAACATGTCTTTTTATCTGGCTTGTTTCCTGCTATGGAAGAAGGCATCGCCTTCTTGTGTGAAATGTGCAGAGAAGAGTTACATAGGGAAGCCTGTGTCTTTAGGACTATCAGTATGGCTCTTTAGCCCAGGGCCTGCCAAGGAAAGAAAAATAAATCTTGGATTGTAGTTTGGCCAATAATATCCAGGAAAAGAAGTAATGTAGGAGAGTCTGGAAACCTAAATGCAGTTTCAAATCTCTTTTAAACTCTCTGCCAAACCTCTCAGCAGTTGCAGCAGCACCAGATCTTTTGTATTCACTCTAGGGAATGATCTTATCCTCAGGCACCTGCAGTTAACATCTCTTTTTTATGGTCTGTGACCATAGTGATGTTTCAGGCATTGGTAGCCTGAGCTGTTTAGATCAGTGCTGCAGGGCAGACCAGTGTGAAACCTGTTTCCTGGCCCTCTGTTTTGTTTTGTTTTGTTTCTGGTTTGTTTATGTCTAAAGGTAGCAGCACAGTCTGTTCCTCAAAGCTGAGTTTGTGCGTTCATCCTGCACAAGGCAGCTTTGCAGCGGGAGGAAAACTCCACAGTGTGTGACAGGCTGGCATCCTCCTCCAGCCCTGGAGAGTGTGAGTACAGACACTTCAGGCAGCTGGAATTTACCCTGGACTGTTTACGAAACGTGACTGTAGTCAACCCACATTTAGGTGTCCAATTTCTGAGAGCTAGTACTTGAAAAACCTTCAGAGATGTTGCCATCAAGGAAATGTGAAGGGTAAAGAGGGAGTAAACCAGGGGCCTGGTGTTGCCTTGCAGCTTTACCCAGCAGGCTTTTGGTGCTTTCTTGGGGTCAGAGCTCTGCACCTTTCCCCCCCACCTCCCATATGCACTGGTTGGACTACTGCTCTTGGCCACCCCAACCTGGTGCTTGAGACAAACACCAGAAAAGTCTCTGCGTGCTTCCACCCACCCCATAAATTATTCCCAGCCATGCTTTTGATGTAAACAAGGGAGGTGCAACCACTACAAACAAACAGAGGTGGCCACAGCACTTTAAATTTACTTGGAAATTTTGAAACCTCTGGAGCATAATACTAATGAGTACTTCCTGATCTCGTACCTTGCACTTTATGGATCCGATGGCACCTGTGCAAGGGTATCCCACTCAGAAGCAGTTTGCGCAATGCTGCCTTGCTTACAGAGCAAAACGTTTTAACACCTCTATGACCCTCATGCAGTCTCTACCCTTGATAAACTGCTGTAAGTATCAACAAAAGCAAGGAAAAGATAGGAAAAGAGAAATGGAGGAGGAAAAAGGGATGTTTTTTTAAACCTCTTTACCATCTTACCTATTGTTACCAGCTACGATGAAAACAAGGGGTATTGATACTACTTTCTAATCCTGCTAACCAAATCATGGATTTGTGCATCAAAAAGTAGTAAAGCAAGTATTATCCTGAAGGCCCAGATGGCCCTCTGTGCTGCTATTCTAGTACTGCCTCTAGTACCAGTTATGTAGTGTAGAGTTGCAATTGGCAGCATCTGGAGAATCGTACCTTTCCCTTTCAACAGTAAAGACCATTAGTAGCTTGCATACCTAACAGTGAGGAGGGGAAGCTAACAAAGCCCAAAAGCCTTTCAATTGAAAAGTTCTGCTAATGAGGTGAAAATGTTTATTGCCTTTTAATCTCATGTTTTAAAGTCTGTTAATAAGGTGGAATCTGTATTCCTAGCAAGTAAGGTTTAAGTGTCAGGAATAGTGTGGCAAGGAAAGCTGCCAGCTCTTTGCACAGCAGTAGTTGTAAAAGCTATTTAAGAAATGTTTCTGATGTGTCTGTAGTGCTTTATAGTGTATCACGTGTTAGTTCACTGAATGCTGTAAACTACCCACTGTCTCAAGTTACTAGGAGCTCTCCGCTGGTTTTGTATGCTGCAGCCCTGAAGTTAATCTTTGTCTAATGCTCTCAGAATAAATCTGATTTTAGCATTTATTCTAGCAAATTGTGTGAGTTGTTGGAAAGTGCAATAGTGTGAATGATTTATCTCTGTTACAGTGGCACAGTATGTTATTTTGGAAAGGTGAAAAAACATAAAAAGTTAGAAAGAAATGGAGTGTACCGCTTGCATGCTAACACTGGTACTGCAAGCCAGGAGTACGATTGTTCTCTGCAGGTTTCAAATACTAATTTTTAGAAGTTAGTACCTGAAAACCCACTTCAGCTTGAGATGATTGCCCAAGGTAGCAGTGGAAATGGACTGGCCTTTTCAAAGGGGCACTTGGTAGGCCGGGCTCTGTATAGGACTGAGTCACAGGAGGCTAAGCCCATGTGGAGTGCCAGGAAGCCCTCATGCTCGGGGGCTGCACCCTCTCTTCAGTCCCAAGGTATTTCTTCCTTTGTGCTAAGTGGACACAGCTGCAATTGCACAGTCTAGCCCAGAGGACATGTGAACACACTCTGAAAAGGCAGTTACAGAAACCCTATGCTAGGCCTATTTTTCTAGCTTGATCCCCTGAGACAGTCTGGTAAGACAGACAAGCAACGTGTCATTACTAACAAGTAAGCATATTTGAAGCACTCTTTTGTAGGTACCCACTCATGACTCATGACAAACAACTATTTTCCTGTCTGTCAGCTGCTGATGTACCAGATGTCTCTGTTGGAGCGCATTCCCTCACAAACCAGAGGTTACAAGATATAGCTTGCTTTTAGAGAGGCAATACTGCAACCTGCCCTCCTCTCATGAGCAAACGGAAAAACATTCAGAAAACAAGCAAGTTTTTGGTTCCTGATAGATGTGAGAAACCACTGAGGGCCGCAGGAGATGGGAGAGATACAGGAAAAGGCAAAAGAATTGAAAAAATTATTAACAGGACAACAGCTGCTTCCGTGATTTTGCATATGTATCTGACAATATTGGTCTAGACTAAAGGTAAACCTCACTGTAATTGTAGCATGTGTGAGAAGGCTCGACTGAATTCAGCATGTGTTAGAAAGCTCACATCTCTGCTGAAGTGAACAGGAATAAATCAGCCAATGAACAAAGGTACCCATAGCTGTACTGCTGTTTATATTTCCTGAATAGCATGGATAGGCCAGCAATCGGTAACATCCTTTATAGTCACTGCTGCAGAGATAATATTTGAGCAACATAATGGTTATGTGGCTGCATGGTGTGGCACATAGGGAGCTGAGAGAAAATGAGTAGAACGTGCTCATTGTGTTTTGCCTTTCAGATGGAAAAGGTATGGAGATATATGCAGTCTATTGTACAGGTATGCATATATTTGTCATGCTTAGCAGAATGGATCTGAAATCTCTAGGCCGGGCTGTAGGTCAGGTTGGCCAGTAAGAATAGGACAACTGCTCCTTAGCCAGGTGGTGAGCTGCCTAAACACATGGGGGCTGGACTTCTCCATGCCAAACTCATGGAATGATTCCTCAAAGCAGTGAATGCCAAAACAAATGTAAGAAAATCAACAGGTAGCTCAGGTGGTTAGTAATAATTTCATTAAGGTTTCTCTTGTTTGACTAAGAAAAACAGTAATTAATCTTCAAAATCTCATGTAAAGCTGCTATAAAGACTGTAAGAAGTGACCCTCATGGAATAACAAAATTATATTTTATTAGTTAATTAGTTGGCACTCATGGTTATTACGGTTCTCAGGGTTATTAAACATTCTCTCTGATTTGTCCTGCAAGCTAAGTCTGCTGTATTTTAAGACCCTGCTGAACAGTTTCAGTTTAAATTGTACTGGCCAATCTCCCTGTACTGATCAGATCTCCCATTTTTCTCCAGAGAGAATCTGAGGTTTTAGGACTCTGTTCATTCCCTTTTGTTTTCTTTCTATGTACACTGGTTCCTTGGTTTTTGTCTACCTAGATGAACTCCAGGGGGTTTTAACTAGCTAGCTGAAAAAGAAAATATACGGCAGAGCCGAAAGAAAACAGATGGGTATGTATTTCTTAATGCAGTTTGTGCTAAAGGTTGCAATGGCTTGTGCCTCAGCATAAGGAGAACGCTAACGGTAGTGTCTGTTATCCTGACCAGCGACTGAGTAGCCCACCTTGTTTCCCTCTCAATATCTGAGTAGAGGAAAGAATTTCCTCGTACTGGTTTTGCAAAGCGTCATCCTCTGAGTTTTGCCTTTCATCTCAACCTATATGCCTAAGGAAGTTTCTAAAGGGCAGTTAAGTACCCAATTGCCTTTGAAGGTCACTTAAAATTACATTTTTAGAAGTGCGGGTGTTACATTTTAGACTCAGTAATTTGCATATTCCTACCTAATATAATATGACCTGAATCATTCTGTTAAGTATAAAAAATACATTTTTTGTGGTCGAAATCTAAAAATTCAAGAACTTGCCATTGATTTGCTCTGTGTCTTGTAGATAATTTACTGAAATATTAACAGAAGCAAACAGAGAAGAAATACTACTGGACAATGCAATGCTGGTTAAAACACTGTAGTTTCATCTGCTTCAGTTTCAGTTACATTGCAGCAGTCTTCTAATCCCCATGAGTGATTGAATATAAATGGTTCATTGTGTTAATCTTTCTGATTTTGGGGATCGGTGTTAACAATTTGCAGTCAGAACAAAAGACCTCAGTAAAGACCAGATTATAATAACAGAATAATAATCAGAATGGTATAGCAAGAGTATAGTTTTAGCAATGCTCTAAGGATGTAAGCATGGTAAATGTTTGCTTGGAGTGGTCACATGTCTTAGTAGGGCATCAGGCGTAGGTGTTAAGCCTCTATTTTGGATGTGAAGAGGTCTGTGCTCAATTTTTGCTGTTTTTATGTCTAGGTGGTGAAAATGTGATTTGTCACTCTTCAGGGAGCATCTCAAAACACATGCTGAAGTTATGTAACAGGTATTGTAAACAAAGGTACTTTGGTCCTAAGTAGCTATACTTTTCTTGAGAGAATCTGCTCACTTTTAATGTATTTACTTTTCCAATTGCATCCTCATTATTATCTCTGTATATGAATAGTTTTGGTCAAATCTCACTATAGAGGAAAATTGGATTTCAGCAAACTATGTTTATTTTCATTAAGAGTTTGGCTTGCAAAAGCTTGCAGAGAACTCAGAAAAGAAATAGGCTTGTAATTAAAGAATAAAACTATCAGCACCTTTCTATCAACCTTTTTAGTCTATCTAACCTTAGTAGTCTAAGAGTGATCGAAACCTAGTGATAAACTAAAGTACTGCAAAAACTACAAAATAAATTTCTATAGTACTTGGGCTCCAGATTAGTGTGTCCTGGATTAGAAGATATAGTCAGGGAATGCTCAGGGTGAAAGAAAAATTGTTTTAATAAATATATGTCTGTAACTAAGCCTTTATTTCCTCCTCATCCTTTAGAGGAATCTTCCAAGAATATGTCTACACTGAAGGCTCTCTATTAACTGTTTCTTACATAGTTGCAGGCCAGCTCAAGTAACAGTAAAAGAGGAAGAAATTAACGAGCTTCCTTGGGCATTTAATTGCATGGCCTTTCCTTGGCATCACACAGCTCTGGCTGTGCTGCCAGCAGTGCTCAGCATGGCTGGTTTGGAGCTGCTGGGGATTTATTAGCACAAGATACAGTCACTGTAAGTAGGGCCATGTGCCTGCACTGTTACAGTACTGCTCCAAGGCAAGAAGTGATGGGGCCCCAAAGCATCACTTGCTGCCACTGTCACATCCCTCTTGTCTCAGGGGAGTGAAATCCAGTCCTCCAGACATGAAGCACAAAGCCACCATGCTGACTTGCAGGCACTGGATGGACTCAAAGCTGCACGTCACCAGCCTGGTAAGGTGCTCCAGAGCTCTGTGTTTCCTGGAAAATGAGATGATGACGTGCCTTAACATCTGTCTATCAGCTATCACAAAGATAACAAGTGTCCCTCTGTACTTGTGCACTAACAAGAGTCTAAAATGTAACGTTACAAATGAAACAGATTCAATATATTAAGTGCTAAATGCATCAAACAGCACAAGTAACTGAAACACACAGATTTGTGTTCAGTCTCCTAAAAAGCTCTGTGCAAAAACGAGCATCTGTAATACTTATTTTGTCTTTGTGTACAGCTAATGGCAAGATAACAACCATGAAACGTGGCATTTCATGGGAATTCATTATTGGTTGGGAGCCCCTCAGTAAGGTGCGAAGCAGCTTCATTGTACTGTGACCGTCAGACCTGAACAGCAGCCTGGTGAGTTCATTATTTTCACTTCTAAGTCTGTATTTTCTGCCATGTGTTTTCAACCACAAGGTTCTCCCAAGGACTTAGACTTTCAATAGTAAATAAAAATTTGGCAGTGCTTTTGGATATATGTGTTGTAATACTTATCAGTGAGACAGTAGATGGGCCATTTCCCAGCAATAGCATAATAACAGCCTAAAAAGGTGGAGTTTTTTTTGTTTTTTTGCTATCTGCAGACTAGATTATCTTTATTTTAAATTGACAACAAGAGCCAGGTGGCTGCTCAAAAGAACAAGATATGAAGTACGAGCATATGTTTCCAAGGCAATCTTGGCCAGTGGCTGTTAAAGCAAAAAATGCTTATTGTTACGTCTTTTCAGAGGAGGTATAGTTCATCTCCATGGGAACACAACATGACAGAACAGCCCTGTGATGAATCTTTGTATTATTTCCAGTAAAGATAGACAATATTTATGCCATCATGACACTACTGATTGTCATTGCAGTGGGTATTTCTGTCGTGGTGTTGAGCAAGTATTAGGAATCATCTCCCAGAGTGTTGTGCAGTACTCGCAAAACAGGGCTATATGCTTAGCAAGGAAGATGTAAGGAGGAATTACAGAGCTAGTAATGTGGCCTACAGGACAGAAAACAGACTCTTTGAGATTGGAAAAGAAAAGCAGGCTTCCACAATGATCCTAGGGATTGCACCTCTCTAAGCTACCTGTTTTACAGCTGCAGAAACTATAAAGGTACAGGCTTTCAAGAAATCATTGTTAGGTTGTGACATCTGAGTTAGAGCATTTCTGGGGTTTTGCTTGTTTGCGTGTAAAGGGACAAGACAGAGGCTGACTTGGACAGGTAATTTTTAGTAAGCTTGGAGAAAGAATATAGTAAAGGAGAAGGGGAGTGTATGCATCGTGCCTAATCATTAATGACATTTTGTCATAGTATCTGCAAAACCTGATCATAGTGATCACAGGTGAGGAAGGTGAGGCTGCAGGAATGAGGATGAGCAATAGGGTTTTTTTTTTCAGGCTTTTTGTCTATTCTTTGTGCAGGACTTTTGTTCGTTTCGACTACAAGGAGCTATAGCCTCACTATGCTCCAGGAATTAGTATTCCCACACAAAGTAACACGAAACCTACACTTTAAAATATGTAAACAGCAGGGACTAAATACATATATATATGTGTGTGTGTGTGTTCTTCAGGAAATTTATTTATTCATTTATTTAAGTGGTAGTTCTGGAGGCTTTATTTCTATAGATATTGATAAGTGCCTATAAATATTTTTTCAGAAAAGCAGGAGAAAATCAACCTGATGTTCTAATGCTTTTCAGGTTGCCTTTGTGATAGGTGTTCTCTTACATCCCTGTTCTTTCTGATTGGTGTGCTCCTTGGTGTAGCTTGTGGGAAATGGACAAAAGGCTAAGTGTAAGGTCTCAGTAAGTGTTGAAGGTTCAGACATAGTATGCCAAAACATCAGTTTCTGTACCCAGCATGGACTAGGCCTGAGTGTCCTTCTCTGCTTCTTCCTGAGAGAAATTCCTTCTGATAGGAATTTGTCCAATTAAAAGTCCTCAGACTCAGGAGCAGGACTCCTCCTGAGACCTAGCTCATGCCTGTCATGATAGGGACCCGATAGAGCAGAAGGCAGCCTCGTTTCCCTTGGTTCTTCAGAACTTAGCTTTTTGACTCATCACTTTATTCCAGGCACCTAGTTTCTTGGCACCTCAGTCTCTACCATGAAATGACCGTGTCAGAGTTGGATCTGCTACTGCAGATCAAAATAAAAGGATGATGTGCCATTTCCTAACTCTTCTTAAATATTCCTTAGCCATTTTCTCCATTTCCTGTAGCTTTAAAAAATTTCAAATTTTGACCCATAGTATAGTATTGCAGTATACGATATAGTACGATATACATGTACACGGTATATACTATACCACAATATAGTATTGCAGGTATATTGCTACATGTTCCAACTTTTACATTGAGTACAGGCTCTTAAAATATGTTCCTTCTGGAGGCAGAGGGGGCCTTAAAGGCTATCACCTCCTACGTCATGGAAAAAGAAATAAGCCCTAATACATCAGTGACGTGCCTTTCCCCCAGACTACTTTTTTTTTTTTTTTTTTTTTTTCAGGGATTAAAGTCAAATATTGCAACTTACTGAGGAAATAATGATGTTCTCTAGTATGCTGACTGTGTAGTGTAAATCAATGGCCTCAGGTGTATGAGAAGGAAGCAACCAGATACAATCTGAAAACAAAGGTCAAGTGTTTCCTCTGTCAACAATGTTTTAGGGGTATATACCTTGTACTGGAAAGATATGTGCCTGCTTTTTTTCACAAAAGCTGTGGAAAACCCAGACACCCTTTCCTTGATAATACAGTGTCAATTTACTTTTCCTAGGACAGAAAATAGATTGAAAGGGATGACTTTTGTTCTTCATTAAAGGGCCTGAAGGCATTCTGTTTTGTCTTACACTAAAGTATTTTCTTATGTACAAGTACAGTGCTAGGCAAGACCTGTTTGGTATACTCTTAAAACCCACACACCCAAGCTCTGCTCCCTATGGCTACTGTCCTATCTTTAGGAACCTCATTATCTGTATTCAGCAGTTAATTCTCCTCTTCCATCTACCTGCTTATGCACTTGGACCTAGAAATCTCTGCCCTGGGATCCATCCGCCCAGATGACAGCGTATTATTAAGATGTGAGTGATACTGTGTTTGTTTATAAATGTAAAGATGTCTCATTAGCAATTGCATTCTACATCTAGGATGCCTATCTTCCAATTAAAGTGGCACGAGGCTAGAGTACACAGCAATGAAATGTTCTAAGCCCTAACAGCAGCAGAATTTGGATTCTGTCCGTATTGGAGGTATAGTAAGGTACTGTAATCTCTACTTTTGTCATCCTGTTTCTATATCAATGCAGTGTAAACTAGTATAAGTAGGATTTGATCAGTGTTTCTTATTTTCCAAAGTCAAGGATACGGGTGACCTTCCCCTGTTTATTGCATGGACTTGCTGCAGCCAGGGAGCACTTATACAGTGGACTGTTTCATTACATAGTAGGTGGCATAGGTTTAGTTCCTATATTTCTGTTGAAGACTGAAGGTGATAACTAAAGAGTCCTAAACGGGCTTTGGGCACCCAAGTCTGGCCTATTTTAAGATCATCAGCAGCAGAGCAGATAGGTTGCAGAGAAAATACTAGACAAATATCAAGTGTGAATGTTGTGAGGACGGAGATTTGACCATACGTGCTTGCCATGCAGATGCTGTGCCAAGGACAAGCTAAGGTAGCTGATATCAGGAGCTTGCAGCACAGTGACACATTTGAGAGTAATGTCTCACAGGTTGCCGAAATAAACTAGCACGGCTGCACAACATTGTTTTATGTGAAACAGTGCTGTATAGCTTTATGAAGATCAGACTATGATAGCATCGTTAGTAAGCAATCAGCTCCTTTCAAAACAGTGCTGAGCAAAATGGAGGTCACCTTGTTTTTAGGAAATTACAGGTTTGAAGGCTATCTGAAATTTGTTTTGGCGTTGAAAGCACCTTAGAAGGTATTAGCTATCAAGCCGCTGTTTTTTTGAGAATTGAAGGAACTGCTGCTATAAGAAGCAGCACTCTTTCTGGATACACAGCATCTTAAAAAATGAGATACCAGTTTTTTTTTCGAAATTCTCCTTTGCTAACAGTTGTACAGGCCTTTGTGGAGCCTAGGTTTATTTTCTGGCATTAAAAATGCAGCATAAATCTTGTGTTAGGGAACCTCAGAAGGAACCTCACTGTTCTATTTAAGACAGAAGGAAGGTTTAGCATCCGGGTTCCACTGAAATCACTCATGTATGCTGGCTGAGTTTTGTGGGTGTTACCCTGCCAAAAACCTTCAGCCATTGCCACATAAGCGTATCTGCAGGTTTCAGATTACCGAGTGTTGTTGCTATTCTACAGGTTGGCAGGTTGCAGAAAAAAAGAAAATATTTACTTTCTTTCTGCCTTATTCTTCAGTGTAATTATCTTACCTAATTCTCTGTTACTTCACAAAGGGAAGTAAATGTAATGACTAAGTAATCAGTCATGGTGGATGATGTGTCAACGTCTTATCAGCCTATTTGTGCAATTGTGATCTAGCTGACAGTAGAAGAATTGGTCTGAAATTCATAGTAATTTGGGGGGGAGGAGGAGGATACAAGGTAATTAGTCCTTTTTTTTCTATATACCTCATGCCATTGCAGATTTGGTTTTGCTTATGCCATACTTTCCCAGATGAGCAGAGATAGTGTGTTGCTGGTAGGGTTTCACTGACTTCCCTGCCTAATGTTGCAATTTTGTAGGTAAGTTTGCGAAGCACAAACAGTTCCATAGGAAACGTAGCACTAATCTGCAAAGATATATAAAGTTGTACATATATTATAATTGTATGCATATGCATGGAGATGTATGTGGGCAGCACCACAGATCAGTATAAACCATTACAATTGTTGTAGTTGTCTGGAAACTGGGTGTGTACGAGGTTGTGGCCTGGTAAGGTAGATTCCAAAGAACTTGGGCACTTTACCATTTAAAATATTGCTTCCCTAAGTCTAGATTCATAGTTTGATCTTATCTTGCAGCTGCAGAAATTTCTCAGAGCTGCAAGAACCCCAGAGGCTCTACAGCCATTCAGAAACAGACCTGCCAATGTCTTGTGCTGAACTGCCCTATATCTGCCCAAACTACAGCAGTGTTCACAAGCAAGTCAGTTTCCCTACTGGATGCTATCTAACCTACGTTCTATAGACCTAGCAGTAGGTTTTTTTCATCTACCATAGTTTCAGCCAGTGGGATTAGAGGTTATATGAAGTGACTAACATGCAAGCAAACCTGTGCTGCATATCAGGAAAGAGTGAAACATAGATATTTTATAAGTTTGTTTGTTTTTTTTCCTTTTTTCCTATTTTTAGGAAAGAAAAGGACACTAATACCTCATCAACTTGTTCATTAAAACATGGCCACATATCATTTCTGCATTTTCTAGGTAAGGAAAACACTGGGAACAGTTTCATTGCAGGTATTAGACTAATTGAAGGTTTCTTTATAGCGTTTTATCTTTCGCATGGGTGTACAAATCTGGAGTTATCTGTTAGATGAATTGCTTTTTCTCCATTAAAACAGAAAAATGAGCTTTGTAAATAGAAATAGAAGGGTAAATTTATCAGCCCCTAAAAGTGTTCTCATTATTTGCATAAAAAGTGTTTAAGCAATACTAAGAAGTCTCATTTGTGCCCTGAATATCCAGTGTCCACTTCAGCAGTGTCATTTAACAAGCACCACACTATATAAAGGGGACCTGTGAAAGCCACTCTTTCATTTCACTTTGAAGCAGAAAGGTAAGTTGAATTTCCTTCTCATAAATCACAAGGAACTACAGCTAGAAGGCAAACCTGTTTCTTTTCATTTCTGTGGTCATACTTATTTTTAAATTAAATTTCCCTTTAATAGGTGGTGGTTTTTTGTTTGGTGTTGTTTAGGTTTTCACTTTTCTTACGTTAGTAATTATAGTAGATGCAGAGATGCCTGTAGGACAGATTGTAGTTACAGATGAAGGGCATGGAAACTGGAATAAAAGCAAAGATCTCTTTTTCCATTTTGTTATTTAACTAATCAGAACTCTGACTCTGCATCAGGATCCAATTATGAGCTGGGTGCAACAGTCCATTTAAATGTAAGTCTCTGAATGATCAGCACCAGAGGAAAAATACCTGTTGTAATTGCATTTCCTTATCTCAGGGACATAAGTATGCCTAGCCACCTAAGGTAGGCTTCTGACAGGGACTTTAGTAATCTGCTCTGCAGAGTCATAGAATGGCTCGGGATGGAAGGGACCTTAAAGATCATCTAGTTCTAACCGCAAAAAAAAAGCCCAAAGCAGCCGGTATTTGCGGAAGGAATCCCACCTCAGATTCAACGCATGCAACGTGACAGTGCATTTTAATGCTGCATGTATGCTCTCAGGTAGAGTTGAAATGTACTTGTCAGGGTGGATATTCTGGCAATGAGACAGAGAGTGTTGCTCAAACAGTTTTATAAATGCATCTTAAGGCTGAAATTTTTGACATAAATGTTATGTTTGGGGGCATGTCCCACTGAGCCGAGTTTGATTAGACATGCCTCTAGATGAACAAGTGGGATTTGCCCTTAAGTATAGTCACTATTGATGCAGATCTAGGATAATGTCAAAAGCCTTTTACAATAAAGTCAGTCCTGCAGATGAAGCCATATTCCTTATTTTTAAAGCTCAATCCAGTTTTAGAGTATCCAATTAATAAATGACACTAACAGAGATTCTGTATCTGCTTTTCATGTAATAACTGGATATCTCCATACCATGGTATCTTATATTTCATCATTTCAGGTTTAACTGCACAGCATTAGACAATGCTGCATACTCAGCAGATGCGTTGCAAAGCCATGATCAGTAGTTTCAGAGTGCTTTTTAATCATATTTCAGCACTGAGATTATAACCCTACCTAATATTACGTCTGAAAGATGAAATAAACTGAAACATGATGAATGGGCCTATAGCCAAACATGCATTTTGTGCAACTATATGGGAATGTCAATGGAGCTATAAAACTTTGCCCTCGTGAAAAACTTATTTGAAATAAATGTCCCTAAACAATATTGTGCCTAAAGAAAGAGATTGCTAACCAGCTCCAAAATATCACAAGAACTACTGTAACAGATTGTGCCTTTAAGGTTGGGGGCATATACATCTACGTTTCATTGAAACTTCTCTAACAGAGAAGTAATGTCCTAAACCTGATCAGTTTTATATCCGAGCTCATTTCTCAAGGATTAATCCTACAAATAGTCAGACACAGCAAAAAAGAAGATATGTCTCCACTATTCCCAAAGGTGTAACTGTCATTCTGTAATAAGTAAGTATTCCAATCTGTATCAGTCTAGAAACAATTTTGTGCATAAGCTATGCAATAGTAGCAAAACGAGCCGTAAACTTCAAACTGCACCCTATTGGAACAAGGCAAAGAGGCATATTTAAAGAAGAGAAAAAAAAAAAATCAATTACAAAAGCCAATGCTTGCATTTCTTGCAGAATCACTGCCTGACAAATATGTGCATTTTCTGACAGGTACCCTGAGCAACCATGAGGTCTTACTCTTTCTGCATGCTCACAGCAGCTGCTGCCTTGCTAGTGCCTTGCCATGCACTCAGCTGTCCAGGACTTCCTGAGCTATCCAATATCCCAGGACTTGGTGGACTACTTCGACTATTAAGTAAGAATAGTGACTGTGTTCATTATAATACACATGTACTAACTGTAAGTCCCCGGTAAGGAAAAAACAAACCTTTATGTTGTCTTTTCATTTAGACTAAATAAGGCAATATTAGGGTTATTTAAATGGTTAGGTGTTTCCGGGTCCAATGATATCAGAGAGCGACTTGCTACCAGACCTCGTGGCCCATACTTTCAGCCAGCAACAAACACAAGTTTGGGGGAAAAATCCTTGTCACAAAGGCTGAATGAATAAAAGCAGGTAACATAGAAGGACATGTGGCCTCAAGTAAGTGGTGGCAGTAGGCAGAAGAGGGGAAAAAACGGATGGAGAAAATGGTCAGTTAAGTTTTTTTCTAAAAGACAGAGCTCCTGTCTCATCTGGGAGAAGAGGGGAAATGCAGTTTATCAATACCTAAACATAGAAATACAATAAGCAAACATTTAAACCTTTCTAGTTCATATAGCCTTTCCAGTGTTACACGTTACATAAGAGAAGCATAGAAGCCTTTTTTTTGTATAACTAAAATGTTATTCCGATATGTAATTTAAAATGTAAATCACAGGTGCCTAGTCTATTTCTATAGTATTCAAAGATGGTATGTGCAAAAGGAGTCTGGAGAGGCATATAAATTGCACTGGGTAACTTTATGTCTATATGGAAATATTTTCTCCAGGTGCATTACCCGGGCTAAAGTGCTAACAAAATAGTTCATACTCTCAAACTGCAATGTGTTACATTTAAGATCTATCGTATACTGAAATTCCCCAAATATGCACCCATTATATAAATTATGTGTATATAAGCATGCCTGTCTTTTCCAGAACCTATTCTTAGCCCAAAGTGGCCTTTTGGAAGAGAAAGGCTTCCTGAACCTCCACTGCCCACATGGCTGCAAGGTAAAATAAATATTTATTATTATCAAGTGAAAATGGCTGATCTCTATATAGTGTTTTGTCAGATAAATAACTCTCTCTGTTGGGTGAAACATTATTTTTTACTGGCTGTGAAGCCAGGTATGTAAGAGTTAGAACAGTGCAACTCAGGTGTAACATGTGCTATGCTTCTACATTCCCACTAGTTTTAGTTGTGAATAATGGGAACACCATCACAGAAGCATGTCAGTAATTTTGTACTACACGTAGGACCTTTGTTACCAGTGGAAATTTGTATGAAATAAGTATCTGCCTGTACTGTCAGTGCCCATCCTAAACAACCAGTGCTGGATGGACTCTGTGTTTCACTCCACCTATGTGGTAACCAACCTATATCTGCATTTACAGTTCCAATTAAAATAAGATCCTGCTGTAAATACACAAAACATCCATTCAGCAGAATAAAAAGGAAATGATATAGACTGAATTTTGTGTAAAGCCACAAGAACTGTTCCCTCTTAAAAATATCCCTGGTGCCTGTCCAGTATCAATTAAGAGAATGAAAAATTATCCCTGGCAAAACCATTGGCAAATACTTATGATGTGTACACTTTCATAGGCATGACACACATAAGACCTCAAACTGGATTTAGAAATGTATTTCATGTGTGGTTTTATTAGACCTTCTCTACACAGAAGTGAATATATGTGCATTTCAGAGGGTTTCTTTTCTTTGTTTAATGCATAATAGCCAAAAAGTGAAAAAATTATGGGAAAATATCTATTAGACCCCAGGCAATGTTAAAAGACATCAAGCACCAGCTAGTTTTAGAAAATAGCTAAAGCCAATTATTAGTTCCTATCAGCAGAACCTAGTTTTTCTTGCTTGTATAACTTCTATGTTTATGTGTGTAGGTCTACCTATCTCGCCTGACACTGAATTCAGCGATGTTTTAGAGAATTTCAGACAACGACTCTCCAGACTCGAAGGAGGTAATTTTTCCATGTTTACCTTTTCAGCTCTCAGCCATTTCCAAACATAGTGGGCAAAAGTAATTATAGAATCAAGACCTGTAGAACAGAAATCACACTTGAAAAATGGTCCTGTATTACAAAACTAGAACTCGCTGTGAGACACCATAGAGCTGTTCTAGGACTATTGCAGGGCCTGTGTTCATTTTTTGTAGTGCCACAAACTAATTTTTGGCTTCAGAGAGGGTGACTAGACCTAAACCTGAAAAGCCTTACTCCCACTATTGACAGCATAGAATAAGATCTACTTTGTCAATGTATTCTTTAAAACAATAATTGTGCAGATAGTCATCTATTAAGATTGTCCAGAATTAGTTGAATATACCTAGATGCTATTACAATGCTCAATAGAAATAGATGTCCAGTAAGTAACATAACGGTTGCTTGTGAAACAACCTGGAATAATACTTTGGATTTTACAAAGTCAAGCATGTTTCAATGGTAAGGCAAGATATACCCAAGTATACTGCAGTACCGAACATGAGATAAGAACCAAAGTACTTTCTTAGTAGGAGAATAAAACGCGGATTTCTCAGGAACACCTAATGATTATTTGTTTGGATTTGGTGTGTGTATATATATATATATATAAATACATATATATATATTACACATAATGTACATACACACATACACATATTGCAAATGATGTTGCACTTTCTGCATGGATTCATCGGAACTTGTCAGCCTTGTACCCTATTGCTAGCATTTATATCTTCAAGCAATGGAGTTTCCAGAGATGTTAGAAAAAGTTTTGAGTACTGAGTTTACAAAAGTAATGATAGTTTCTCTGTTTTTCTTGCTCAAATTTGAAACAAAATTGATCCTTTTAGGGAGTACACACAGCTAGTAGAGATGATACTGTACATAGCAACTATGAGTAGGATATCCTTGTCTCAGAGGAGACTATCTGTGGACAGAAGCAGCATAGCAATAAACTTATGGGACACCTATTGAACTGGGTAAACTCTGAAGACCTGTAATCCTCCTCTCACTCTCAGTCTTGCCCTCATCCATTCCCTCCTGCACTCCTCTTACAACTTTTAATTTCCTCTTCGTCATCCTGATTTCTCTGTCTGCGCTTTCTCAGTAATATGCCAGAGGGACCCAGAAAGCTAACCAGCTCTTTTTTGGGGGGGTTTAGCGCTTACCTTGAAAGGGAAAATAGCAAAAGCTGGAGAGAAAATAATTGCCAGCAACGGGAAGAAAGCGGACTTTTCATCTGCCCTAGAGTCCTGTGAGAAGACTGGAGGAACTCTTGCAACTCCCATGAATAAGGAGGAGAACAGAGCTATTTTGGGGATTGTGGAGCAATATAACAGTTATGCCTATTTGGGCATTAAAGAGAATGAGACCTCTGGACAATTTGAGTATATGAATGGCACGCCTCTGAATTACACCAATTGGTACCAATATGAGCCTAATGGCAAAGGCACAGAAAAATGTGTAGAGATGTATACCAATGGGAACTGGAACGACAGGAAATGCAACCTCTATCGCCTCACAATCTGTGAATTTTAAGGAATGATGTTTCAGGCACCTGAGAGTATGGAGACAATAAAATGACCTAGGCCTCAGGTTTATGCAATTTCTGCAGTTGTTGCATGTCAGAAAAATCGGAAACTGAATCATATTATGGTGTATTTTTATCCCTGAGAAAATCCCAAATGTAGAAGGTGATTAACATAATTAAAATGTGCCTAAGGGTATATGTTTCTCTCTGTTTGGGAGGAGCTCAAAAGTCCTTGGTCACAACAGACTGTCTCTGTGCACTGGGTCACTGTGAAGACTAGAGGAAAAATCCAAGGTTTGGCCTCAGATACTGGTTAAAAATTGTCCTGGGATTCACAGTGGAAGCATTTCTAAGTATTTATGAGTTTCTGTCCAAAAGGAGATGGACAGAGTCTGGAGTAATTAAGGTGTTGGGATTTGAGTGTCTGCTAGAATTATGGGGCTTGCAGTGATAGGTTTAGCAACCGCATTCAACTATCATTAAAAAAAAAAAAAAAAAAAAAACAGTAACAGTGGCAGTTGCAAGTAATTTTCCTAGTTAAATGAGAACCTATGAAACACTGATAATCATTGCCTTTGTTCTACGTAAACATATAATATGTTTATAAAATACTAAAGAGTTTATTTAGTGCTTAAATATCACATTCTCTCATGAAACAATAACCACTGCAGAAGGCTGCCTGTCCATCTCCAAAACCACTGACAAAGCATACACTACATGTATATCAGGGGTGGAGGTAAGAGTGGAAGTTCAATCAAGGCAAAAGAAAAACTAGTTCTCTGCTGAAAGCACAAAGTCAGACTAAGACCCAAAACCCCTAAGATCCAGAACAGCCTTTTCAGAAAGTATTTCCACTGCCACTCAGTTTGAGTAGTAGGTTTGGGCAGTAAAAACCCAGCAAAAGACCAAGAGTAGCAAAGTGTCTTACCTCGCAGTGGGGAAGTCCTGGGCTCATTCTCATTGTGGGCTCATTTTCTCTCAACCTGAGTGAGGAAAGAATGTACTGAAATTAAAATGCATGCATAAACATGTATACTTTATATTCCTCTTTTCCTTCTCCTCCTCCCCCACAACTTGCTCTGTGCAGGCAGACAGTCTGAACCCAGACTTGACTGTGGGCATTGTCATCTCTTGTCCCTAGCCTGACCAGGGGAAGAAATGGGATCTATCCATGCGGTCATTTCAAGCCCTGTGGAGTAGAAAAGCTTTAAGATGTTCAGTCACAGAAGATGAGGGGATACTTTTGGCAGCAGATGGTTCACAGTCAGCATCACATGCAAGACCTCAGCCAATCTGAAAATGGGCAGGGTTGTGGAAAAGGGAAAAGTATGCCCAGTAGCAAGCTGGATAGATTTCAAAGTCTGAAACTACTTTACACAATAGCCTCATTGGAAACCTATGACCGTAATACCATTTCCACCAAAATTTTCAAACAGGAAGGGAATAGATCATGCCACAACAAAAATTCTGACTCTCAGGTTACCTTGAGAAAAGGTAAGACTAAAGTAATACCGTTTAATGTTCCTAGGTTTGACTCTGACAGAGAATTTTTTTTCTCTGGTTTGCATCTGCCAGAGAAATTTTTAAGGTTAACCTAAAGCTACTTCTACCTCTGGAATGGTAATAATTAATATTGTAACAAGTAAACCTTGTTGATAAGCTGTGTATTTCAAACATAAAGGTTTTTTGTGAAAGCGAGAGGAATAAATGGCATAAAGCAGCATCATGTTGTAGAAACACAAAAATAAAAATCACTCTGCTAAAAAGCTAAGTTAATATCTGAAACAAATGCACAAATTAATACACGTAAATCCCCAACTATCTATAGAGCATCCTATTCCTTTGGTTAATCAGTGAATTATTCACATCATATTTATGATTACATTATGACCATAAAAGGTTCTTACTGAAAGCATTAATATGTAAAATATTACAAATGACTTACCTATCATAGTATATCATCTCTTGGTAAACGGATTTATACCTCAAGACACTTAAATGCTTGGTATGCAGTCAAAAAAAACAACACTTTTTTGTTGTGTCAAGAGCTAAGTTTTACTACATCAAAAAGCAAAGCATCCAAGCTAGGTCACCAAGTACAATTTATTTCTGCCTAAGCTGTTAGTATTAGAAAAACCCAACCAAACACAGGCATGGTGTGTAAAAATGAAAACTCGTCATCAAGTCAAAGAACTGCTAGGCAGCACTTGCATGTAGACAGCTTACTCCAAGAACAGAAACAATTGAGGTAAGCAAACTACAAGTTTCAGTTATTGTCATGAAAATATCTCTCCCTATAATGTCATACTCAGTTCTTCTCATTGAATACGCCATCCTTCCTCCTATGCTATTCTGAGGCGGCCCTCCTTTTTCTGCACCCAAAGTCTCAACTTATTTATTGCTCATGTGTAAATCTGAAGATATCAAGGAAACACCTGCTAGTATCCTGTCTTCTTGTTAAACAGTGAAGTCCATGTTCTTTGGCATGGACAGCTATCTCCTAGCAACCTCTGAAAATACATAATCCAGTGTTGTCCACCTTGCCCAGAAGAAATAATTCCCCGATAAAAGCCATATTCTACAGATATAGTCATAAATCATTATTATCTCATGGGATTCATGTGTAGTAATTAAAAGTCTGGTGAAGCTATAGCAATTTTTAACTAACTACCGGTGTACATAGTCAGGAGATTAAATGAGTGGCATGTTCTAATCTGCAGAAAAGCATCCCCAAACTGTTTTGTTCCTATAGCTAGCGTTTTGTGCATGAGTGTGTAACCATATCAATTTAAACTCTCCAATAACATTTAAAATGTTATCAGTCAGTCTCTTTGTGTTTTTTATTTTATTTTTTTTAAAGTGGTCTTTTTTTTGTGAGAGATCCAACTGTCTCGTTAACACGTAGTAATAGAAAAAGTTGTTGGTGTTTAATGAAGAGAGAGGAGGCTGGGCAAAAGGATGAATGCAACAAATTGTCCCTGTTCATTACTGTCTCAGTGGTACATAGTGAGGAGACACAGAAATTCCAAGTTAGTCCTTGGTATTTTTAAGTCTTCTAGTGGTGTGTGTTGTGTTTTTTGTTTGTTTGTTTTGTTGTTTTTTTTTTTCCTGTATTAGTTTGAGCCTTTATTATTTGTAATAACAGATAAGCAATCTAACAGTAGGATCTCACAAATCAGAATTGTTTCAGAAACTTTGCAAATGTTATAAAATCAGATTGTGAAAATTGAGATCTCTGTGAAAGGTCACAAAATTTCAGTGTCTTCTGAAGCAAGATGGTTGTGTATCAGATGATAATAGGTTTCCTGCAGTTGTTATTAATTACAGTATGTAAGTAAGTAACATATGGGGGGGTTGTCTGGCCATAAAAATGATGGGTATTGGTTTCAGAGGGGATCTCAGGTCTAGAGCGATATCCTGTTATAACTGTGGAATGCAATAGATGCTTTATCTTAGAAATATTATTACCTCCCTACTCCCCCAGAAATCTCTACTGTGTGTAAAGAAATTGACCCTAGATTACAGCAAATAAGCATGTTTTAAAGGATTCCTGATTTCTCTGGAAAAGGCGATGAAAACAAGTCCTGTTGAGCATCAGAAAATTGAGCTCAAATGAGACTTTACGAGTGTGGTAAATGCCAGGACACAACGTAGGGAGGTAGGGCTACCTTATATTTTAAAAACTGAGACTAGGTACCTCCCTTACACTTTCTGTTTTTTTTACGTTTAATTATATTATTCCTCTGTTCTTTTCTAGGAGACCATACGTAGTGGAAAAACACCAGTACCTAATGGTGCAATATCCTACCAGTGCTACAAATACAAGGTAAATGGTAATCATACATTTTACATCTATTTACAAGTGTTCCTTAGAACAGCAAGCATAAGCAGGAGAAGTATTTGCTGCCAGGATATGCTAGCCGGTTTTGCAACCAAACTGAAAAGAGGTGGAAAGGCTAATGGCCCTTCTACAACTCTTATGAACTGGAGGAAAACAATGGTCCTGAGTGCATTGTGTAATGGTGTAACACACATGTTTATTTAGACCCTGAAGAGAGCCAGAGTGCAAGTAAATTTCAGTATCTGAAGTCGAAGTCTAATATTTAAAAATGCATTAACCTACAGTTACACAAACAGGCCTGGCTGTAAAGCATGATCAATACAGGATGCTTGGAAACTAGAGTAGCACCTTTCCAAAAAGATAAGGGGACTTGGATTGGAGGTGAAGTGCCTGTTAGGAAACTGGAGTTTGGTGGCAGTTGGCTTAAGGGTGGTAAGGCAGGTGTGATGCCAGGGTGAAACCTTGAACGAAACCTTCACCCATATCTTCCCTGGTGCCCCAGGTGCCAAGAGCACTGTAACCCTTGACGTTTCAGTGTTTGCGGTTATGGTCATAAGGACAGTAGCGAACAAATGAACAGTCTTCTGCAGATAATGGTGGACAACCGCTGAACATATGGCAAAGCAGTTTCAACTAGTTCAGAAACCTGAGGTCTCGTTCTCGCTCTCATTAGAAAGCTATTTTGCTAGTGGGAACCATAGAGGAGATAATGTTTTGCTTTCTACCTGTTATAAACGCACAACTATCTCTGCCTCTGTTTCTCAGCTGAGCTGCACAAAGTGACAGACTGGAGACACCCAGTGACCTCCACTTGGATCCTCCACACGTGACTTGGGTCAGCAGAGCAAGATGGTGGTTGCATTTACAAGCACTGATCATGCTGTCTAGAGGTAAAGGTAAGACTTTCTGCTCTAAAATGCTGCTTGTAAATGCAACAAAACACCAGGGTTGAAGGTTGTCCTCTCAGGTGTTCACATGTAGCTGAAATCTTTGCTCCAGGGTTTTAAAGCTCAGCAAGAATAGCCTCAGATCTCCTCTGAGAAGCTCTGCCAGACACCCGCACTGGGAAGGGAGATGCTGGGGCCCACAATGCGCCGTGCTCTTCCTGTTACTCACAGGCATAAGGGGGCAGTCTGACAAGGACACATGGAAAAGGACACGCAGAAACTGCAGGACCAGGTGGTAGTGAGATAGGAGTGCAGCAGCAGCAGAGCACAGCAAAAGAGCCAGGTAGAGAGAAAATATATATGAAAACATGGTTGGAACCATTTAAATACAAGGCAAGAGACTTTAAGGTTATTTATGTTATGACTAGCTCCATGAAGGAAATATATATATACACACAGCTTTCAGGAGGTTAAACATATAGAAGAAATGCTAACAAAGAGGCCCATGGAAGGAACATGCATCCACATTCATAACCTCAAAGTCATCTCCAGTGTCTGTATTTCTCAATGCAGCTAAGAAAGATGTGTTGACAGACCTCTGTCCACAGCATTATTTTATTATTTTTTTTACCTACCTACATTGTGTAACACTAAGCTGTTATTCTCGTTAATGTGCTTCGCTAGCACTGGTATTTTAAAGCCTCCTAGCAATAGAGGTAGAAACACTGAGGAAAAGGTCTCAATAATCAAAACTTATTTGTCATCAGTGAGGCCCATAGCAGTGAACCTGGCAGAATTTGAGAATAAATAAAGTAGCTTATAAATTATAGGTTACAAGGTATAGTAATTATGAAGAATATTACAGTATTCTATTAAGCATTAACAAGTGCAGTTAAAATGTAAAGTTTCTAAAGTATTGTAGCTTGCTCCATCATATTAAAATGATGATGGAAAGTGAGAGGAGAAAAGTTTACAACCTATCAAATCCACATCGGTCCTTCTGGGAAGGAAGTGTGCAAAGAGACTTCAGTTTCCCAGGCCATCACTCAGCACATGAAACTCAGTAGAGGAGGCCAAGCCTCCTGCCCTTCTCATACCTGTCCAACCCAGTTTCTGCCAGATCCAGCTGAAGTTCTGAAGCCATTCCCAGCACGGATGCAAATACCCAAGTTTTGCCAGTGTCTTTTGCTAGAGCTTATCTGGACCCCATGTAATTGCCTCACAATCTGTTTGTTTCAGGAAATAATTAGAAAACCTCAGCAAAAAGAATGTTAAGAGGACCAAGTCAAACACTCAAAAGTCAAAACCTCAAATTGTAGCATGAAAATTTAAGCAAAGGTTACTCATGCAAATTCAATGTGTCCCTCCTCTATTTGACTACATACAACTGGTATTGCCTATTTATTTTTCACAGGAGTGGTGCCTTTTCCAGGGCACTTGAGAAGCAATGCAGGGAATTAATCAGGCCTCTGTGGGTATGACACCAATAGCCAAGGACCCCACCGTAGCTGCTGAGGTAACATCCTGCAAGGGTGCAGGGTACAGGATACCTACAGAGGCAATCTAGGCTTGCCTCAAAGCAGTAGCATCTAAGGCCAGTATGAGTACCGCTCACATTCCTTGTCCAACCCCAAAGCACCCATTCCTCAGCCGACCTAGCTAGTAGCCTTCACGCAACATCAGGATGCTGTCCAGACATAAGGATGCTGTGATCCCACCTAGTTATTTGAACTGGAACACAGCCTGAAACTCCATGCCTGCAAGTCCCAGTTAGATGGAAACAACTCACAGCTGAAAGTAACTCAGAAATGCATGGCAACAGTTTCCATTTCAGCCAGGCTCCATGCCTTGAGGCCTCTGTAATTACAGGACTGATACAGGGCAGCTCTTTCCTCACTCAAAGGTCATTTTGCTGTTGGACAAAACTATGACTTACTTACATTGTACAGTAGAATTGTTATTTGTAATATATAAACCTCCCCTAGAGTAATCTGTAGGTTATTTAAGTCTGTGATGTACTATTGTCTTCTGGCTTTGTTGCTGATGTGTGATTCTACGTAGTTACAAGTTTTCAGTAACTACAGGCAGAGGACCTGTCATGATGAAGAAAGTGACAGCATTGTAGGGGTGTTCCTGATGAATATTACGCCTCAGGGAAACTCATTAGTTTGGCATATCGTAACCAACATTTACAAGGTAACATTTGCACAGCAATTCTGTGGAAATATCAAGTATTTCAAGTAAGTACTGAGAAAGTGCTTGTTGCACTCCAATTTTTCTACCACGCGGAAGTGTTTCTACAAGTCAAGAAAGAACACTCAAAGTTATTACTCACATTTCAAGTGTCCACCTCTTGAAGAAAACCCCCTATCAATCAATCAAGTTAAAGGTCATGAAATTTCTATTCATGTGCAAATTCATATCATATTACACACTCTTGGTATTTCCCATAGATAAGATGAATCTCAAGTTACACACCCTATAAATTAGACTAGGTAACGTGCCTTTCCTATTTCTGACAGGAGCTGACAGGTAAGTTGAACATCCCTAAAGAGGTTTCTCTTTGAAATGTGTTTAATTCTCTCAAACTGGTCACAAACTTCTGCAGTTTAGATATGTGCATCTCAACAGGTTTGTTTAAATGTTAGCACGTTGTGACAAAGGGTAGCTCCTGCAGTGAAGATACTTTAACAGGTCAATATTAATAATAGTTTCCCTCCTAAATTGATAAAGAGTGTTGCGGTTTGCCCTAACCTGTTTTTTTTCCTTACTACAGCATATGTCTGTTGCTCCCCTGTAAGATTAACACTGGAGCTGTAGCTTGGTCCAGGGGGAAAATGACATATGATAGTATCTGCTGTATGAAAATGGCTTGTGAGGGACAAGTTTGTTCACTGTTGTCATTCATTACCTCCTAGGTAACTTAGCTTTGCAGCTGTCAATCTCAGTCATTTCATTGAGCATATCTTAGGAGAAACTTCAAATCCAGACAAAGGTCTGAAACACCTTTTTTTTTTTTTTTTTGACCAGGACTCTACATAGGAGAGTAAACCAGACTTTTATATTTGGCTTCGAATAATGCTGTCACCACAGATGTTCCACAGACTCCTAGCAGTGGCTCTTTTCCTGCTCCCCGGCAGCACTCAAGGTAACCCAGCATACAAGTTCCCGGTGCCTGGCTTCAGGATCTCACCTGAAAAGGGAATAGCTCAAGGCTTTATATCAGGTACCCGCAGTTACCAGCTCCTTTTGTATTTACATGTACTGCTGTGTAACATCTTTATGCCTCATAAACCGAGTGTTATGCTGTGTGTATTGAAGTAGGTTCTACGTGATGAAAAATAATCAGATCTTTATTAGTGTCCTGCACGAAGCAAGAAAGATGTTCAAAACGGCCCTGCCTAAAGACTCAGAGGCTCAGTTCATATCAGGAAAAGGTTATATTGCTTTCCATAGCACAGGGCACAAAAAACTTGGTGCCAGGTGTGAGGGTGGAAATGTGAGTAAGTGCCTGAGGAGCCTGAGCAATACTGTCTGCAGGCGCAAAGTAGCATGAATAAAAATAAAACCTACCGGGCAAGTGCCAGTCTTTTGCCTGCACCGTCTCAAACATTTGTAGAGTAGATACTAACCCAGACTATTAATTCACATTTTCCAGCATTTCTCCTCCACAAGATGATGCCAAGAATTTGTTTGGTATAGTAAAAAAAAAAAATTATTACTGTTTGAAATAACTCCCTATTTAAAACACAGCTATGAACTAACAGGTCAAATTGCAATAAGTAATATTAGTTTCACACAATTATCTATGCCTTATCCTAAAAGCCAACATTTAAACCGCGAACTGAAGTGCATAATCTCTGATTTTGTTTTTAGGCTTCAAATCACTTCCTGGCAAAGAAACGGGAGATGTGATCCTTCAGATAGAAGATCGGATTTCCAAACTTGAAAGAGGCAAGTTATCTACCTTTATTTACAGCCGTAGCGTGAATAGGGGGCATAAGGAAAATGAGCAACAAAACGGCCTCTCGGGAAAAGGCAGAATTTTCAGAGTTTTCATTACATTTATGTTGTGTGTGCTGGCAGATAGAGATAACTGACAAACTGGGGGCAGGGGGCATTAGTTTTCTGTAACAAGGGGGAGATGCCTTGCTAACAGGCCTGAAGTATGGCAGCAAACAAATCCAACTGTGACTAAAAGCTCCGCCTATGCGAAAGTGCCCCATGGGCATCTGTCATGTCCCTAATAGAAGCTGAATGCCAAAGAAAAAAATCAAAGCATTTACAAGCAGATCATATCTGAGATCCTACTTGCCCAAGGACTGACAACTATCTCTGTATTCTGCAAGCCATCACAAAGGGCATGTGCAGCAGGAGTAGACTCAGAGGGAATAATAGCGTACCTTATCTAAATGCAAAGATATGGCTTTTGGGGGTTGTCTCTTTTCTCCATGTGTAATCTGTGATTTTAAGCTTTCCTGTCCCTTAATTGGTTCTGGGTTTACCTTAAAATTATGGAGGAAAGCAGGCAGTGGGAATTACAATTGGCAGCAAACTAACTGCAAAGCAATGCACAAAGGAAAGATTAACAGCTTCCACCTGTTCTTGCAGTCCTCCACTTGAAAGAAATAATAACAGCATCTGAAGGAAAAATATTTGCTACCAACGGGAAAACGGCTGATTTCCACACCACAGTGAAAACATGTGAAGAGGCTGGGGGGTCTATTGCTACTCCAAGGAACACAGGCGAGAACGATGCCATTCTGTACTTCGTGAAGCAGTTCAATAGGTACGCCTACCTAGGGATAAAGGAATCTCTAATTCCAGGCAAATTCCAGTTCCTGGATGGTGCTGAACCGAGCTATACCAACTGGCATTCAAACGAGCCTTCAGGCAAAGGGGAAGAGGAGTGTGTGGAGATGTACACCGATGGCACTTGGAATAACAAAAAGTGCAACCAGAATCGCCTTATTGTCTGCCAGTTCTAGCACTTCCTCCTGCTGCTGCCTGGCAGAGTCCCTGGAGTTGTATCTCCCATCCCTTGCGTCTTGATGTGTAGCTAGTGAACTAAGATAAAAGCCAAAATAAATAAGTAAATAAATAAATAAATAAAAGTCACTTTCCCAGCCTGATCTGGCTTTTGAACTAATACCATCCATGAAGAGACTCTTAATGAGAGCAGGGACCATTTTGTCTGGTCTCTTACTGAAGGTCCAATGCTACTGACTCTCTGTACAAGGGTTCCTACGCTCTTGTCAACTGCTGACTTTTCACAAGAGAAAAAAGTAGATTTCTTGAGCACATACCTAAAGTGACTCGCAGCTACAAAGGCTTTCAATCCCCCTGTAACCACAAGCCTTAAAGTTGTATTGTGATCCCCATAGTTCCCAGATTTCCCTCACCAAACCCACCCTTGCAGACAGCTGCTACCACAGCTGTTGCTCAGCCTGCGTTTCTCCAGGCCTCTTCACCTGCAGCAGATTCCTTGAAAGAAGAAGTAAACAGTGCTGCTAGGCAGACACAGGGCTATCAGCTCAAGGGGGTCTCACCCATCCTAATGTTTTCCATGGGAAAGCTTTAGAACCAGCAGTCTTTAATCCTCTATATGAGGATTAAGAACAGTGGCCAGAAGCCACTTGCTTGAGCACCTCTAGCAATTCCTAATGCCTTTCCTGACAGTGTTAGCAGGACAAGACGACCAACATCTCATGCTACGTGGGACAAGGTGGGGAAGAAAACACACAGGAGCCAAGATGATACAGTGCCCATGGAGTTTGGTGAGATCAGCAGAGCCAGGGGAAGGTCAAGCTATTTAAGCCAAAACATGGATGGAGTCAGATACCCACCCCTGGTTTCTAGGCACCCCTGGCAGTTTCAGAGCTGCGTAAATCTTGTGCAGCATTTCCCTGGGGCCAGGTCTGGTGAACGTGGGTTTCAGAGGCCACCTGTATTCTGTGCTCTTTGTAGAAGCCACTCAGAGTTAATCCCCTCCAGTGCAAGCTAAATGATTGTTTAAAACAAAGCTTTTATAATAGCCTTACTGCTGAGGTCCAAGCACCTCAAAGTTGGGCATTCCCATGAGCAGAGAAGAGCTGGGCAGTACAATGGAAGCACCCAGAGATGGCTATGACTTTTTTTCCTTCCTCCTGGGCAGTTGACTGCAGCAGAGCTTAGAGACCATAGGCTCGGCATAAGCTCCACAGAGACATGGTGCAAAGGCTGGCTGACCATTAAGGCATACCTCCATACACACCAGGCCGAACACCTCGCTATCAGCTGCACCCACTCACAAGAGCTTTCCTAGTCCCAGCACAGTCAGAGGGAGCCAACCATGCAGGCCTAGAGCCAGACCGGCTCCTCATTCCCCCTGGGTGAGAGGGAGACCAAACTGTCAACATATAAAGGTAAGCGGGGGGAGGAAGGCAAGACCACAGCCAGTGCTAATGCTGGGGGCAGAGAGGGGGCTGCCTGCAGCCCCATAGCCGTGCACATCCCTGCACTTCCAGAGCAGCAACTGGCTGTGCATGGTAATACTGAGCCGGTGTAAGTGCAGGTACTGGAGTATTTGGGTACACATTCTCACCACTTGCTCTATGGAAAGGTACCGATCTTCCTGGCTTCAGTTCAGCGCTTCGCTTGCTGTCATGGCCTGCAAAGCAGTCATGCTGCTATTCTCTGCAAACCAAGCAATTTATCTTACAGGTATTTACTTTGGACGAGAAACACTACAGGACCAATGTCAGGCCAAGACACCTTTCTGCCTGGATAATTTGCTGTCTGCAGGTGGTTTGCATCAACAAGGTACCCAATTATTCACTGTGGTAATACTCAGACTGCTCATCAAAACAATGCATATGAAATAGGACTGCTCTCCTGTTGCTGGAATGGTAAAAGTATCCAAACCTATAAAAAGAAGTGTTTTCAGAGCACAGTCCTCCATTTATGCAACACACCCATCTAGCATGCAATAAGAATCACAAGCTGCTAACTAGAGTACTGTTTCTGGGCATCACAATCACAACCTAAAATACCAAATCCTTTCATATTAGGTCTAGGTAGACTATTATGTAGCTTCGCTAACCGAGGTCAAAATAGATATGTGAAGGGAAAACGAGGAACCAACAGTTCGCAGGCACTGTTTCACTTTCAAACTATACTCTTACTCAGAAATGTTTTACAGTTTACCAGTAACTGTATGCACCCACCAGCTCACCCGCCCACAGCCTTCAGCCTTGCGTGACTCCTGTTGCGAAACCACCTCTGCCACAAGCACTAGGAAACAGGAGCACAGGCATCACCTCGTACAGTAGTTTTCCACTCGTCGTATTTCGATACAGGTTAGGAAGCTTACAGCGAGTAACACCAGCCTGAGAATGAGGTTCGACCCCCACTGACAGTAAAAGATAAGGTAAGGTTTTATTTTATGTCGCCTCGCTTGGAAACCTAGGCCTCAGTATCAGAACATCTCCTTGCTTATCTGCAGGGGTTACAGAATCATGCCAAAGGCAGAACAAATTAAAAGTATGTAAAAGAAAATGGGTGTCTAGGGAACACATGCCATGGCAGAAACGTGTGCCCAATATTTGGGTATGTTTGCCTCACAGACTCCCAGGGAGAGGGTAAGGTATTTAGCGTTACCCTGCAGCTACAGATGCTTACGCTGTCCAGTCACTCTAGCTGTGGTTCCAGATGAGGATGTAAAACCTCAACCAAAGGAAGTATTGTGCCTCAATTCAGTCCCTCCAGCAACCCTGCCAACAGCAGACGGGTCTGGAACCAGTAAGCCTGACCTGAAAAGCCAATCAGTCTGGCATTTGACACCTATGTCATTTATTTCCAAAATCTGACTGAGAGGGCAGCAGAGAATCCTCTGTAAAAGGTGCTGTAAAAAGACGGGACGCCCAAGGCTAGAGCAGTACCTCAGTATTACCTTCTGAAACCTTTACGAAAATATTTTAAAAACCTATTCTGCTTGATTATAACCATGAACACCAGCTGCGCCTTACATGACTGTATGAGTGTGCTTTCAAGCCAAACTAATGTGCCTCAAATATCTCAGCCAGGGGAGAGTACCACTTCCAGAGGCAATGCTCACAACGCTGCAGCACTGAGTAGAGAGAGGTAAGAGGGTCAGTTGTTAGCAACTGTGCAAGGCCACCCCCACACCAGTGAAGAGTAGAGCCTGAACTGCATAGCAAAACCCCTGATGGGGTTTCCATGAGCTTCCTACTCCCTGTAATAGATAACACAGCCGTGATTTGTCAAATACTTAAAGGTAAGCTCATAAGTAGCAAATGTCGAGCCAAACTACAGTGTTGGGAGTCAGGTGGCTCAACCCCCTGAACATGCAACAACCCTAGGGGTGTCAGCCTTCATACTCTGAAGGCTATCCATGCTCTCAGGTAATAACTCAGCCTCTGACTGGCTGTCAACAGAACAGTGACTTTGAGAAATTATGATTTTTACAGAGAATGCCCAAGGTGGTTTCTGGGCAGAAAAAGAGCCATCACCAATCACCTCCAAGTGACTGTCTGCTAAAGCAGCTCAAGGACATGTGACCAAGCAGGGTGTTATTTTACCGGTCCCAAGCAAACCATAGTCAATGCAGAAATGCCTCACCCTTAGCTTTGAAAAGGATTGTGCCACTTTAAGAACCAGCAAGCGGGAGGCGGTGCAGGCACTGCTGTACAAACAAGTACCTGTGCACCACCGCACACCTCAGCTCAGGGGCCTGCCACCCTCACGATCCCCAGCAGGTCCAGCACGGCTCCAGCGCCCACCCAGGCTGCCTGACAAGAGGATGGAAGCCCGGGCAAACCTACTCAATTTCATCGGTGAGACTTGCAACACACCGCGGGGACACTAACAAGGTAAGAGTGGATGGAAAGGAGCGAAATTCTTACAGGAGCACTCATGTGTTGCTCCATCTGCATCACACCTCAGGGATAGTTAGAACTTATTTCCCATAGTCAAAATGTAAAGTTTCTGTTCATGTATTTAATGTTAAGCTCACTACCATCAAAAGAGTCAGTTTGCTAAACAGGTGATTACGCTAGCAAGCGCACTGCATAAGGCAAGGCTTTATTTTCCTTTTAAAGTTAGCAGACCAGGAGCTTGCAAGAGTCTGTCCAAAAGCATTTAAACAGTTGTGGACAGGCAATGCGTGTGTGGCATACAGGCGTATGTAGCCCTCTGCAGTGCTGTTAAGAGTGAAAAAACTAACAAACCTGCCAGGAACTAAGACAACAAAAATACCTTGCTAGGTGAAATATGGGGGAAAAAAATAGAACTTGCATGTCCAAAGCAAGTCGTGCACATTTATTTTAAATGGCAGGGAGTCTGCTGTTTCATTTTAACTTTCAGTTTAGGTAGCTGCCTCTGTGAAAAATAAGATGAAAGGTACTACAACTTAAGGCACCAGCAGCCAAATACCCATGTTCTGAGCTGCTTTGGTGTTATTAAATGAGCTCTGTCTTCATGATGTTTAAGATTACATAAACTAGATTAGAGATCGGTAGCCAAACCTCTCGGTAAGATTTTTTTTCTACTAAATGTGTCTTTTGAGAATTTACTCACAGTGCTAGATTGGTTTTAGTTTAATCAATCAGACAACATTACAGCTTGCTGTAGAAAGATTGAAATCCTTGTAAAACTGAACGCTGAAGTAGGTGTTGTAAGTAGCACTTTATGCAGTTGTTACTTGTAGAGGTGAATCTGCACTGCAAGCCAAATCAGAGAGTTTTCTTAAAATTTTATGATTCAGTGCATTTGCAGAGCACTCGTGGTTTGAAAGCGTAGGACCTTTAGGGATGAGTGCAGTTTGATCTTTCAGGTGTTATAGAGGTCAAATGTGGCCCTTTCTCCAAGCTGCTAAACTGATTGATTTAATTTCTGGATTTTTCAGGAGCTTTAAGTGGCACTTTTACAGTGATAGGTTTCCTGACCGTCACCCTCATTTCTAGTTTATCAGCGTGCAAGAACCTCAGGTTTCAGAACCTTTCACATTCCTACTCTTTGCTACCTCTGGCCTCAGGTCAGGAAAGCAGCATACGGGTTCACCTTTCTGCAGTCACACAGTGTCGCAAGGCAGACTAGGGACACTGCAGCAGTGACGGCCTCTCCAAAAAATTGAGTGGCCATGTCAAATCTTTAAATGTCGATAGGATGCTGGCAGCTATGGTCAAGAAGCAGCGCACAGTAATACTTATTTGCTCCACTTGAAGTGCAAAGGGTTTGATCAGAGAGTGAGGAGAGCAGCAAGCAGAACAAGGTCATCATTGAGGGTTCAGCCCTTTTGACCTGTTGTTCCATTAAAACAAGGGCTTGCCGAGGTGTTCACATATGCAAAACAGGAAGCCTTCTGCAGCTACAGCTGTGCCAAAGCAACAGTTAACCCATGAATCTAGCTAGGTAGCACGCACATCTAGGTGGTAAAACCCCTCCCGCAAGGAGCTGGAGGCCCTGTGCACACAAAACCGGAAACACAATACCAGATATGTGGTTTTATCTGATATTCTGAATCGGTGTACTGTAGCAGGACTGCCAGCATGATAAAATAGCCAAAATGTAGGTGAAAGGAAATAACTAATATTGGGTCTTTAACATTTCATCTATCTTTTTGCTTAGTACTGTCAGTCGTGTTTTTACCTGCTGTTTGATGGTGGTTATCTCTGACAAGAAGGCAGACCAGGAGTTGAGCACTGCAGAGGTAGGGTTTGCTCTGTGTGCTTGCACAAAGTGGAGTGTGACCAAGGTATTCCCAAAAGCTGTCATGCAACCACACTCTTTGTAGACATTCTCTTTTTACTGTCTGCTCTGGTTTTAGTTTGTTTCCATATCAATGAAAATCCAAGCTTACACACCGTAGGAACATGCTCATTTGGGTAGGGAAGGAAACTGGAGGGATAGATCCTCGCGTAGTAGTGAACAGTGCAATAGGTGCCTAGAGTCTTTATGGAAAACTTGTGGCTGATGGGTCGATCTGAAGGCCACAGTCCTTGATGCAGCCAGGTCTTCACAAGTAACAATAGGGTAGAACCCCAGTGCTACTGCCTTGAGTTTCCAGTAACACTAGAAAGAGGAGCCCTAGAGCAGGCCACCCTGCACAAAATTAAACACTGAGTCCACCCATGTGGACATTAGTCGAAGGTCTAATTTCCTTGCTGTGCTCCCATAAATACTTGGTCACACAAGCCTCCATGCAAGTGTCAGGCCAAGGCATGGTCATGCCTGCCCTACAAATATTTATCAACAAGGGTTGTACTCTGGAAAAGGAGCACCGAGTAGCTCACTAGTCAGGAATTTCTGTTGTTGCAAGCACCGAGATGCCCCCCACCTGAGGTTATTTACCTGCAGCAATCATGTAAGGGTCACAGGATTTACAGAGAACAGGTTCTTTCTGAAACCCTCTAACTAGGTGCCTACACCTGAAATACTGTGTTAGGGAAGATGAGAAACTACAGCCTTTCTGTTAGAAACAAAGATGAGAAAAGGCAAATAGCCCTTGTCCACAGTCTTCCTCATGTCCAACAGTTGTTTATTCAGACGCTTTTAGGGCAACACTGAAAGCTAAAGCTACCAAAGAGAAAAACCTGATAGAAACAAGGGAATGTAACTCGATGTGCTCGTATGAAACAGGCCCTGTAGACCTCAACCCATTCGGCCTTTTGGTGGCTGCACTGTACTTTACAAGGCTCCCGAAAAGAGTTTAAAACTTGCTCTCTGTGTACCTAGAGGTTGGTCAGCAGCAGTAGACATGTGACCCTTCCAAGTAGAGAGAAAAAAAATATTGCAGAACAGCCAGGTATTCTGAGGTTTGGAGGAGGAAGAGTTATATAAATAGATATTTTTGATGCCAATTCAGGTACCAGATCATCTTTCCACCACAGGCAAAGCATCTTCAGAGGACCCACAACTGAGAGCAAGGCGCAGACTGGGAGGCCACCACCTCCCTCAAGCATCTCGTTCAGAGACCCTCTCTTGTTACAGTGACCCCACGAGCTTACGAGGGCTATGTGAAAGCTTTAACAATAGGTCTGTAGGTAGCAAACCAGCCCTTTTTTGTACAGCAGTGTTGAAATCCTCACCATTTGGCCTCCTCACACTGGGGAGGAGTAACTTGCCATACCACCCCAGGTATGATAGGCAGATAAGAACATTTGGATTTTCTTTTTTTTTTTTTGAGAGCTAGGACTAGCAAAGGTAATCATGAGTAACTTGGAGAAAAATGCAAGATGAGCAGAGGAAAAATAGCTATTTTTAAGCACAGGTTCAGTGCAGCTGAAATCAAAGATAACGCTCTATATACAGCAATGCCCACAGCAGGCAGGACAAGCAGTCTTTTAAATAGTTTCAGCAGGTGGGGAAAGATGGCAGAGTAGTTGCAAGGTAGAGGCCTTTACTCTTCCTCAGAGTGAGTAAATTTGGGGGAAAATCTAGCGCATTCCTCAGTGTAAAACTCATGTAGTGTAGACACCAGATGTGATATGTTTACTGATGAGGATTTTAGTTGTCACAGAGCTTGCACAGCTCCAGTGTCTGTATTTTTTCTGAAAGAGACTCAGCAGCACTTTTATATTTCTAGAGCAATGGCTTGGTTGACCATCAGTATTTTATTTTTTTTTTCATTCAACCCCTCCTGTAATCAAACCTGAGAGGTTTAGAAAGTTAGTAGGGTTACCAGCTGTTTGGGAAGATTACTGAAGCACACAGTGCATGTGCCTCAAGTACAGACAATGAGACAAACACCTCATTATCTCAGCAGCAGCTCCAGATCTTACGCAGCCTCACAGAACAAAACAGGCCAGCTGACACCGACAGGCAACACTCAGGAAGGTCAAGGCCTCCAGCCTCAGTGACTGCTAATTGCCCAGCAATGCAGTTTGACAGACCTATTTTTCCAGACTATGTGCATCTGGGACATGTTCCAGTCATAAAAGTAACTTATTTACAATGCATCTTACTGAAAGGTATGTAAAAGAGCAATACTCATGGTAAGCATTTCCCACTCATCATATAGGGGGAGTCAGGAACAGTTCCTCACACATTGAGTCCTCAAAAGACTAAAGGGGTGAAGGTGCAATTGCCTCTGCCATATCATCCTCACCACCACGTCCTGCCTGCAGAGCATTTTCGTTCCTCAGAAAGGCCAACTAAAGCTGGCCCCTCCCAGCGTGTTTTCTCCCACAGTCTTGTGTAGGGTTTTGTCTGACCTTCGCATTACTGCAACACAGCAACCATATCCAAGCAACCTATCCAGGCAAGACAAGGTCATCTGCACCGAGGGAAGAAGCAGAGGGTGCCTTCCTCTGGCGCTTCTACCGCCAACGTGCTGAAGTACCCCTCATCCTGTTGTCTCAGTAGAGATAGAGAGCAGAGCCTGCCTTCATTCTCAGCATCTAGGATGCCATCTCTTTCCCACACAATGTGATATAATCCAACTGAAGATTACTGAAAGGTGGTTTTCTGCCAGTTTAACTGGTGTGACCTCCTCAAACAGGCAGCATTCAAGGAAAGGGGTGGTCTCTCCACTCTCATCACCTGTAGCCTGCTGTGTGAGGCCCACCGGGTACTCTATCTGGATGTTATCTCTCAGACATCTGCTGATGAGGGATTAGAATCACAGAAAAAGGGGGCTGGGGTTTCCTATGCAAACAGCAACGGAGTAGTAGCCTGTCTAACAGAAGAACTGGAAGAGGGGAACAAGGAAGAGTGAAAGAAGCATCAGGAATCAAAAAGAAACCTAGAGATGGAAACAGAAGCAGCAAGACAGACAGGAAAAGCCTGAGGGACAAAAAGAGAGACCACAAGGTCAGAAATGAAGGTATTTAAAGAACTAATAGATGGACAAGGACAACTGGATGGAGGACAGAATGCCCAACTCTGATACTACCCATGCAGCTTGGTGTCAGGAACAAAGCAGTACAGGGCAGCTCCCCACGCAGCCCTTCTCCCACAACTGCCTCCCCTGCAGTGAGCAGCCTCACACACATGCTTACCCTCACACACCCACAGAGGGAAGAAGAAAAAAATGTCACCCTATAGGAAAGGTGAGGGCATCACAGGGGAACAAGCCTGGCAAGCAGCATTCCAGAGCCATCCTCCCACAGGCGCGTGCCTGGCCGGAGGGGAGGCCTCGCACATGCCTCAGGTGCTGAGCTAGGGGAGCTTCACCCATACCCTCCAGCACATTCTCCAGTTTGTCGGAGCAGGCAGTAGTCGGAGGTGTAAAACCTAACATGAGCTTTCAAAGGCCAAAGTTTCTGGAAACGTCTCGGTAGTGCTGCAAGGCAGGCAGAGCCACAGCAGGGTCTAGAAGGAGACCAGGCTTTCTGCTAAGCCTCTTACTCTCCCTCCAGAAAAGATGGATCTGGCACCTCAAATGGAAAGGCTGTAGGTACAAAGGTGTTGACACCAGAGAGCAAAGGTGTGACACAGAGTAGCAGAGTCCTGCATGGTTAGCAATGCAACAAAGCTCCAGCTAGAGTCTGCCTAGCAGGCTGCTAGCCTTTGTTAGGGAGTATCATCACAGAAACAAGCCCTGCAGGGTGTGGTACTATAAACCTGATGCCTCTCCTCACAGACCTCTGTATAGAGGTCCTACCTGTGGATGATTTTAATGCTTTAAAGTCAGGTACAGAAGTGTTGGCAGCATGTTTGGTTCCAAAGAGACATTTTTTGCTACATCTTCCAAATAAACATATTCCTCAGTGTCGCTTATGTCTTACACCTCCCGTATGTATCAGGATTTATTGACCAAAACACCCCCACCCATATCCCCACTGTGAGTAGCCAAAGATAAACCTTGGATGTCCTGCAGAGAAGGCCAGGCTGCGGGCTGCACCACCATCCCTCAGGAAACCTCCTCACAGGCAGCACGGGCAGGGGGCTCTGGGAAAGGCCTGCCCCTTCCCAACCACCCCTTTTAAATGCGTCACGGCCCTCAGGTGTGTGGGCTGGTGCTGAGGTGCTGCAGGCAGCCCTCGGTGAACTAGGGCACACCTGTAAGCAGTCCTTTCTCCTTGCCTCAAAACAAATGTGATTGATTAAACCCCTTCCTAACCGCTCTGCTTCTCTCACCTGCTGTATGGTACTGCAGTCATGAGGCAGTAGCTGTGCTTCTGCTCTGGAAGTACCTGCCACAGCCTGACTGCCAAACCTCCTCACGTGGTCAATCAAAAGCATTTCAAACAAACAAGAAGGAATTTCATACAGATCTAATGGTTTCATTAAAAGTTAGCCCCATGGTAACGTACTAGGAGGTATTTCTAATAGCTTACAATATATTGCATTGCATATCTAATAGGAGTATTATCTATCAATCAGAGAAAAGTAATAGTTAGGGGGTTTGTTATTCCTACCCTAATATCCGCCCTATAGTCATTATCGATATAAATACAAATATAATATATAAAATATATAGTATATATGATACATATAAACATATAAAAAATAAATATAAAAATATATAATGACTGTATATATAAAGATATATATAATATATAATTTATAGAAATACCACCTGGTACATTACCATGGGACTAACTAAATAATAAATAACGTAAATATTCTTTGTTAGATACCATTCCTGATATCTACATTATACAGTATACAATATAAATCCCATATATTACATTACTATATGTATTATGTATTATAGGTTTTACTATATGTATGCATTATTTATATTAGAAATTACACTATTTATTACATATTTATATATTTATATTTCATTTTATTAAAATATATCTGCAGTCATCCATAACACACACCATTCTTTACTGAGCATCTTGATGCCAGTTGGAACCAATCCATCTGTGAGCCAGTCTTTACTGCAGAGAAACACAGTCTGCCTCCCACCTCCTGTCCCTGTCCTTCTCCTCAGACACTTTGCCGGCTCTACTCACTAACATCAGGTTCTGTTGCCTGCTTGGTGGGCAACGTATTTATTAGATAACTACGGAAAAGTGACTAGCACTACTAATTTTCCGGAGCAGTAACATCTTTATTCTGCTAACTGCGGTCCGTCTGGGGAAGATGTTCCCCTCCTCCATCCCGTGACACACTTTTACTTTCCCCCTCGCATGCTGATGAGAAAACGCACAAACAAAGCTGGTGCTCCACTCTGAGAAGTGACATTAGGAACTAGATTCAGAAGTCCTATACCTGACATTTCTATAATGCCATCCAGCCCTGCCATTGTTTGCCCACTCGACACATCATGACTCTGACTTCACACCTCTGTTTCATATTCCTTTGCTAGTGTTATAAATGGCTCAGGATTCAAATTAGGATTAAATAAAAAATAGGATTTATTAAAAGAATATAAAGGAATAGAGGTAAGCAAACAGCGCTGGGTGCACCGGGAGTCTCCGCTCTACCTGGACGCACACCAGTTACATCAAGCAGCTGATTTTTATGCTCCTAGACTAATACATATTCATTACTACTTCTAAAAAAAATAGATTATTATAATTAGCTTCCGGGGTCCAGTCCCTCCTACTGGAGCATGCGCATCAGTCTCCTCTGGGGGTCTCTAGAGGTCTTTCATGCTGAAGGCTTGTAGTCTTCCTCTCACCTTTGTACTCACTCGGCACAATTCCAAGTTTATAGAACACTTTCTGCAGTCTTTTCTCCCAACCGTCCTTCAGCTTCTTTTTCCTTCCTCTTAATCTCTTGGCCCCCTGGCCAGATACCAAGGATCCACATAGTATCCCATAACAGTCACTAGTTATTATCAGTTGTTCTGAAACTCCCAGACATCAAACGCAAACAGCTTTCTTATTTGACGCTTCATGAGTAATTAAAACATTCTTCCCCAGCCATTCACAGACACATCTATAGCAGTGTTAAGTTAATCTCGAAGAAGACAGGAAAAAAGACTGTAACTGTTAGAAATAGAAGTCCGGAATAACAAAAGCAAACAGGTTCATAAATTTAAGGAGTGTTTTCTGAAGATGTGATAAATTGACTAGAATGAGGGGGAGACTGGGACACACTGCATCTGTGGTTCAAGAACTAAATTGCCAGTGCAGGGCCCAGAGGCAAACAGGATTCAAACAGAATTGTTCTTAATGGACACGAATTGTTAACACATTCCTCACAGCTAGGTACTACAAACACATCTATGCCGTCATATTTGAAAGCAAGTAATGCAGTGTGTTTTTTCCTTTACAGCTTCCAACTCTGGACATGGAGGAAACGGTGATGAAAACCATCCTTGCGCCATGGCAAATACTGCTGGTCATTTCTGCTACGGTACTGACCATGACCTTCCTTATGGTCCTGCCCCCCGCAGCACTGGTGATCTGGAGAATGCGGCGTCTGCCTCAGATCTCGCTGCAAGGCCATGTGTGAGCCAGCCATGCATCCCTTTATAGGATGCATCACAACTATGAGATTTCACAGGACTGGCTACTGCCTAGGATCTATCCCACAGTGACGCTTTTCCCAATCCATTGCTGCTAGGTACGTTCCTGTCAAAAGAGGATGTGCAGCAATTTGTCTTCCTTTCCTACAGTTTCCAGCACTTTGCCTCCCATTTCCTGGTCAACATTCCAATTGCTATTGGTCACTTGGCTCCTACATTTACATCTTCTCATGCATTATAATGGACTGAAAACAGGACTGACAGAGAGGCAGGCACAATTCAGATTTGTACTCCCTGTACTTACACCAGTAAAGCCTGCCTCTCTTCAGTTATGTGTTAATTATTGCCAAAGCTTTTGACTGAGACAACTGACAAGTTGTGGCCATATCAAGAGCGAGCACTGTGGTCTGGGCTGTGGGATTTGTAGTTTGTTTGTACTGTGACACCTAAAAAACAGACAATGGTTCAACACATACGTATCGTGTGCTTCCTTTGTCTGATCTGTAAACTTACTTTCTGTGTTTCATTTCATTTCTGTTTCCCTTTCCTTCCTTCACTATGAGTTTCCTTCTCTTTGCTACATCCTGTATCAGAACACAAAGCCGTCCCCATCCAGGGGCTGGGGCGGGAGCAGGAGCAGGAGGCAAAGCCCATTGCTCAGACATGCCTGCCCAGACGGCAACTTGCAGTTAATGCAAACAAAGAGCAACTGTTTGCCTGAATTACATTAAGCACATTTACACTGGGAAGTAACGTGATTAACCTCACTTCAGTTTTCTACTGTGTCCTTTACGCTTGTTGGTTCAACAGCCCTTTCCCATATATTCGTAATAACTTGGATGGTGGGAATAGAACAAAACAGCCTCTCAGCAAGATTATAACATACTTAATTTTCAGCTTTATTTCCATTTCATGCCATATCAACTTGGAGCCTTCCAGCCTCTTTCTTCCACATTACATGAAGCCCATTACTAGTATTTCTGATGCACCTATTTCAGTTTCTGTTACTTGACATGAGAAATGGGCTTGGTTTGCTCATGAAATCTAATGCTGTGCTTCTTTTCTTCTGTCAGATGGTTTGGAAAAAGTCACTGGAATATCTTGATATACCTCAAGGAAAAATACTTCCAGTACCAATAGAAAACCTGTACTGGAAACCTCTTGGTGCTTCTGATAGCTATTGCATTTCAGTATCGGCTGATAATGAATTGGCTGCAAATGGAAGACTCAAGGCCATTATAACTTCATGTTTGTCCATGATTTCTTTGCCATACATAAACAAACTTGCCCATGATTGGAAACCATTTGTTTTCCTTTTACTCTACTCCGCTTTTCTCACCAACACAGTGACTACTTACATTACTGCCTTACAGTTCTTACACAGGCAACGCAGTCAAGTCATACCTTCATTGGTGTACTTGCTATGTTAATAAACAGTCATATGACTGGCTGGTTCTGGGCCCAAAGGCAACAGATTTATTTATTTTTTTCTTTGCTTGTCATAACTGGATTCCAAACACAAAAGGCAGCGCGTAATTTTCCTTACATACTGTTATATCTCCAAATCCTTTACCTGACTATTGAGGTAAAGGTCTCTTACACTTCATGTGCAGTGTTACCTCTGTATCTGAGAGATTCACAGGATTGCGGAAAAGGTAGAGAGGAGACAGAAAACACAAACAGTCTGAGATGTCTTCAGATCCACAGCTTCAGTGTTTGCTCAACAGAGGAAAACTCAAACAAAACCCCAGGCTTTGCTTCCACTGCAAACCAAGCAAGCAATACCTAGGCTTTCTGTTTAGATTTCATCATAATTCACATACACGTCTGCTACGTAGCAACAGCTCCACAAATACACTGGATTGCCAGTGCTGTGTTGTCTTGGCCTTCACTCACCCTACATGCCAGACAGCCAACAACCAGCGTTTGCTGCTCTTTCTGCTTCCTACTCTCTGGCTTCGGGTTTCCAGTGTAAACATGAGCACAGGGGGTATACAAGGCGGTGTAAGAGAGGGAGAGCTCATAGAAGCAAGGGGATAGGAGAAGGTACAAGAGTTTCCCTATTTCCTGGAAAGATTCAATGACAACACAACATCACTTGGATCTTTGTTCATCAAGTGGGGGGATATTGTGGAGGGTGACTAGTCAGAGGCTGCGGTAATCTTGTGCTAGTGCCAGCAGCTGCCCCGGCACTACTGTGCTGACACCAGAGCATCGGAGCCAGTCAGCCCTGCACTCAGTCCACAGCCCTAGAGCTCTACCCTCTATACAGCCTGTCCCAACCATACTACCAGCCAGACCTCATCTGCTTTTGTATTGCTCCTCTGAAGGTAGGCCACAGCTTTCAGAAACCGCATTATCTGCATAGGAAGATATGATGAAATTTTAAGGTAGTGTATAGCAATCAATGCTCATCAGTTCAGGCCACTCCCATTTCTCACATTTTGTGCTGGCTTGAAATGCCACACTTTTTTGGCTTCTTTATCTCGTTACAGCAACCCCCCAGGGCACTTTTGGAGTCCTAGACTTGCACTGCACTCTACCTAAGGGTATGTACTTCTGTGGGACATCCATAGGTTCCTAAGTACAAAGTGAGAACCATTTGACCTGTCCCCCAACAAACTGCAAAGCTTTGGGTTTGCAGCTCATGTGACCCACAGTGCCCTGAGCACCTGTATGCAAGGTCTGATTTCACCCCCGAGTACACAGGTGTGTGAATACAGTTACCCTACAGGCACAGCTGTTGTGACTTCCACTGCTTCAATGGTCACCAGAGCAACACCAGTGATTAATTGGCAACGGTGAAAATACTTCACTCTACAGCACTTTTTTCCATAAAGATGGACCTTGCCAGACAGTGATTTCTGAAAACAATTACTGTGTTTAATGACCACAACCATTAGGCAACTGAAATTCTTTTATAATTCCAGACAGACAAATTCAAGGCTTCAAAAAGTGAACTTCTTTCTTTGCGGCACCCCCACTGTGAGCTACTTTTAGGCTATGTAGCCTCTACCCAAGAGCTGAGGTCAAATGGTGACTATGATTGCTACCCTTCCAATGAAATGCAGGTCTTGGCAGGGATTTCACTGCTCAGCTTCTGTCATCAAAATACCCACATCTGACCGTAGACAGCCGCTTGGTTGGTGGCACACGTTGTTGCGGGCCTGCCATCCTCGGTGCTAGTAACCACACATTAGACAGTCCGCCTGCTTGTCATGGTTGGAGATATCTACGCCTTGCTCTGCAAGTTCTTTGAGGAAAATGTTCAGCTGCTTGGGCTCTGAGAAGGCTAATGTGTGCAGGCAGCTGCTGTTGGCAGGGAAATAGGCAGACTCAGCTCCACTCACGGCCGTCTCCGAGGCTGAAAAGATCAAAGCCAACAACAACAGAAGCTGCTGAATTACATAGCTAAACCCGGGCACATTTGTCCCAATCTCTACAGAAGCTCCAGCATTCCCATTTCCCAGACTGAAGTTTTCAATCTGGCATAAAAGTGACTGAATGATTGCTTTGTTACGCCTAGGGAAACACAACTGCTCGAGCTACAGGACACAGTCGACAGTCTAGTATTTTCCATTAACCACAGGGGAGAGAGAGGTTCGTGTATTTGTGTATCTGCATGCAAATTTATTTTTACATTTGGCACATAATGACAGATTCAGATGGTCACAGACTGCTTGCTGGAAGCAATGGGAGCATTCTTCAAACCCTTGGGCTGCCATGTGAAATGGTAGTCTTCCTGGCTGGGGGACAGCTGCTGTTTTTTTTTTTGGGTGCACTTACAGTGAATACTGCAGGTGCTGTCCAATTTAACTGAGGCTCTTTGGGTACACTTGCAAGAGAAACTGCAGCTGTGTGCTGCCACTGCCAGTCCAGCTGGTCACACGGCCATTGGGCAGTGTAGGTTTTGTGTCAAGACAATAAATGCTTTCAGTTAAAAAAAGGGCACCGTCCCACAACCCTCAGGCATACCGGTCCTATTTGCTAGGTCAACCTGAAGTACCAATGCTCATCAGCACAGGCATTTGTGGTAGTTCTAGAACTACCTTGCTTTCTGGCTCAGCCCTTTGTGACCCAGCATCGGCCCTAGCAGTCTCTTGCCTCCCTTTTCACAACACAACAGTCTGATCCTCCATCCCTCTGCCCACATGTTTGAGAACTACTCACGCTCACAAACAGCCAGTGCTTGCCCCCCAACCATCTGAGTCGTCCAGGAAAACCCAGTGGTGTTGCCACAGGTTTCATACAGCCTGCTTCTTCTGAGGAACTGGAAGTCGTAACCCTTGGGAAACCAGGATGGGAAAAACAGGTGTGTCTTAGGGTACTTCACAGTAACAGTAAATGAAGAAACACTCAGCCAGTGAAGATCAATACGAACACTACACCCTCTCCCTGTCCTGTTAGGGCAGAAAAGGCATACCAAGACAAATCCTACATCATTACACAATAAACACTTAAAACTTAATGAATAAAGCCAGCAACCTACTAGCAGTGACCTGTGACTATTACCTTGTTGCACATGGGTTTGCAGTACTCAACACTGTCGATGGTGACACACACCAGCCCACCGTTCTTAGGGGCCAGAGGCTGTGGGCATTGGGGTGAATGCTTGCAAACTTTCAGATGGAAAAAAAAAAGAGGAAAAACACAAACAAGTGAAAATGAGTCTCTTCCACGCAACCTATATCTGCATGACCTTTGCTGGGTAGCAACTTCCCCTCTACCTGACTTTGGCAAAGTAAGCATTTTTGTTTGCTTAAAGCCCTATTTTTTTCATTTTTGCAACCCCCAATTTTCCCGTCACTTGTCACTGTGACATCAAAGTCCCTGGGAGCCCCGGTTATGCCTAACAAGTGAATCAAAGTGCCATTCATCTCAGCAGTGACATTCAGTACTGCTGTGGGTAAAGCTATCCAAGTATTTCTTGGGAAAATATGACTAAAAAGCTCACCCCAAGGCCCCACCACCACTGCGAGGCAGCTCAGCAGCTCAACTAGGCTGTGCACAGACACTGCCATGCCTCCCAGCCCTCTGCCAGAGCACTGGCTGAGCAACCTTACTTGCTGGCTTCCTCTTGAGATTTTTTTTTTAACTTTTTTTTTTTTTTTTGGTCCCTCAGGAAGTGCAGGCACTTAGCTCATTCTGATTGCAGGTCAAAAAAAATAATCTTGTGGCTTCTCTACTGCTGCTTCGTTCAACGCCCAACAAAGAGGAACAGGGGCCTCACATTTGTCTTGAATAGGTCGCAGAACATCAAGACTTTCTTGCAGCACCCAGATGAGGTGATTGAGGGAATCTCGTCCACCTTGTTTGGCCATTTCAGGGAAGCATTCTGAATATTTCTATGGAGATAGGGAAGAAAAAATGATAAATTGAGGAGGAAAAGCCTGGGACCTGCTTTAGGAAAACAGGGAGAGAGTTTTTTCCATTACACTGGGCTTGAAAGAGAGGACTGCTATGGATGTTTTTCTTCTATGTGTGAAAATATATACCTGTAAATGGCTGAATGTGGCTTCTTCCTGTATAAAATGTTGGTTGGCCATTCTTGTCTGAGAATGCTGGCATCTCACAGACTTTCTCTGTGTGTGCATGTGTGTAAATGTAGGTATTTGTGACTGTGTGTAAACAAAGACGTTTCTGTATTTTTATCTAGCAGTTGCTCTACATGGATATGCATATATTATTTCCTCTCCATATGTATATGCCCACACACATCTGTGGATAGTTAAAAACTGTGGTAACCTCAACAACCAAAACACAAGTGTCTGCCATCACTATGACAGATTCCATTTATTTTGAACTCAGACACAGGAAAAAGATACAGTGCAATTCTCACTACCAGATGCTGAGGCACTCATCAGCAACAGGTAACTCTGGTTCTTAGTCTTGAGGCTCTAAGAGACATTGGTAAAAGCGATGGACATCAATCACATATATGTGGCAAAGAAATACATTTCCTACTGTATTCAAGGGTTGCTGCTTGGTCTCTCCCTTATGGTATACGTAGTCCATAGAAGGTAGGGGCAAAAAGTCATAAAGCAGAGGCTTTCAGTTACCTAGCTTTGCTAATATTTAAAATATTTACTGTTACATTTGAAGGTGGAGTTGAAAACTTTATACATGTGAGGTAAAAGAGATGGCTGTTTGTGTGCAAGCATTTCTGTATACGTGGAGCAAAGCAGAACTGCAAAACACATCTATAAGGCTTTCAACTAGCAGTAACAGGGTCAAAGACACAGCATGTCAAATGCCTGTATTCTCCCTCCCCTCCCACCATGTACAAAGCAGGCCAGGAGTGCCAAAGCAAGCATGCTTACGTCCCACTCTGCCCTGTTCCCGGCAGGGCCCTGTTCCCCGCACTCTTCCCGGCAGGGCCCTGCTGTTCCCACCACCAGCAGAAGGTGTGTGCTACCTCTCCAGGTTTGGACAGTACAAAGCCAGCCTCTTACCTCAAGACACTTATTCACGTCATCTATGGTTGCACTTTTGCAGTCACTTGGAATGGCAAAAACTCCCATTCCAGAAAAAACTAGAAGACAAAGAGAGAAGCATGTACATAGTTGGTTAATGATCCTCTCTGGTACACACACAGAAACCCCAAAGCTCAAAAACCAGTACTTCTTTATGGGAATTGTGCCACTGTGCTGCAGTGCTAGTGCTACCTTGTATATCTGAGGCAATCAGGGCTCAAATGTGAATAAACCCTGCACATATCAATTTACCCTTAACAGTTTACAATGCTATCACCTATGTGTGGCTACCCAGGCCTGGATTCCCAAGTGGGATGCCTCGTTTCATTTAGATGATAGTCATTTTCTAAGTCATTCCAATTCATACTTAAGACCAGTATTATCTTACCTGTAAGAAACTCTGCTACGCTTACAAAAAGCAGCGTTCGCCAGAGCAGGCAGGAGCCAAACCGCATTTTCGCTGCGGGAGATCAGGGCCCGGCTACCCGTTGCTTGTGGAGCCTAGAAGCTGAAGTGCTGGTGCCAGGTACAGGGCTGCGTTTGGCTGGGCAGCTGGGCACCAGGCAGTGCTGTGATAGGACACTACGATGGGATGGGGGACGCGGATATTGCCTAACTTGCTGGGAAGCTGCTGGACAGTCTGCCAGAGGAGGCTGGGGAGGCCAAGGGGAGGTGCTCCTTACGGCTGAGGTGCGCTGGCTTCCCTGTGGCTGCTGCCAGCCCCATTGGGAAATGTTCAGATTACTGTTGTATTGCAAACAGGTTTACTGTATGCACTCTCTTGCGTGCTCTTGCTCTCGCTCTCCTTCTCTCTCACTCTATCCATCTGTGATTGTCTGACACACACACGTGCACATTCATATAGACAACATCAGTAGGCCAAAAGGGCCCAAACCTGTATCTCAGTCTCCAAGAGAAAGCTCAGAACAACAGATAATGGCCACGTATATTTGGACCCAGGGGATGCACACTACTATCCTGTAACATCCAGAGTTCAGCTACTTAGTAAAGAGGGCAAGTTATGTTTTCCTGTTTCTAGGTTATTACCTAAAAATTAAACAAAGCATCACCTCTGGCAGGAAAAAAAAAATAAAAAAGAAGAAGAAAAAAAGTCCTGAGAACATGAACCTACTGCCTGCACATATCCTATCATCAGTACCATGGTATGTCCATTTGTAGTTTGTACTTTTTAAGGGACCCATGAATTTCGCACACATGTCTAGTCATAGGACAAGCTGAATAGCTAGCAAAATTGCCACACAACTGTGATCATTTCTATCCTTTAGTAGTGGGTTAACTCGGTATCTGCACACTGCTCACATGCTGGAGATCTGCCTGACCCCATTTGTGAAATGCAAGTTCTGGTGTCACACCTTTAACCCAGCGGCCTCTCACCCGCACCATCACCCCACTGCCTGGCCTTGCAGGGCCACCAGGCCAGCCCGCCCACACATCCCAGCCCCCAGCAAGGATTCTGTTCTTGGGACTCCTACGGCATATATTGAACCTACAGTTCACAGGTTTCTTGCTTTGCGTCACCTATCCTGGGAATGCACACACATTTAAGAAATGCACTGAAATCTTTAATGCTTGTTCTTGTTACTGTCAGAGTAGACCTGTTCATTTTGTCTGCAGGTGTTTCTTTTTGTTGAGACAGGGATGTTCAGCTTTCATGTCATGTTACACAACACATTTATTTATACAGAACTCTTTCCGGTGTCTTCCTGTGTTTGTTTGCTTGCTTCTGCTAGTTGTAGTATAACCCGTTATGACCAGGAGATCCTGGCCCAGCGAAGCCAACAGCAGGGCCACCATTGCCCTGACAAAGACAGGTTTTCCTCTCATGTCAGGCAAGTCTTGATACAGGGTTGTAAGCTGGACCATAACACGCTTCCACAAAATAGTTCTATGGCAGCATTAATAGGGACACCCTCATTACCTAGTAAAAAGTCCCATATACTTAATCCTGTATACATTACTGATAGGTAAAAGTTCATTAGCAAAACAACTTTTTAATGCTGAAGGCCACAGTTTACGTTTCTAGGCAGATCACTCAGACCTGGACCCAAACAATTTATATTTCTGAGGCTGACACACACAGCAATCTTTTTCCTTGCATGACGAACAATACACAGCCAGGAAATAGTCCCTGGGAAAATTTTGCCAATTATTTAAGGTGCAGCTGTACCTTAACATATTTTTCTGCCAATATGTGTCCACAGGTCCAATTTCTGTTCTAAGTCCCAAGGAGATCGGATGCTACACAAAAACCTATTACTTGTTCTGCTCTCTCTCACAGGTCATATAGCTCATTAGTATAATTACTAAAATGGAAAAGCTTCTGACTTGATCGAATGAAGTTATGCTTGTGACAGACTGACAGAAGAAAATGGCAGCTTTTCTTTATTGCTCATCAGCCAGGCATTCTCCACCTCAACATCTGTGTTGGTGCCACTATACAAAGACATTGAATATGGAGAGAAATGTGGGGTGGCAGGACTTCAGCATAGAGGCACTACCAGAAGCACTGCTTAAACCATAAAGCTAGGGTTAAGTCACCTAACTAACCCACCATATACACTGCTTATCCAAAGCTGGTAAGAGGCGAGGCATCGCCATCTCCAGCAGGAGTGAGTGTGCTGGTACCAGGACGGTGCAGCCTCGCATGGGCACAAATGGGGACATAGCTTCTGCAAAGACTTCCTCTGCTGTAGAGGGACACACGGCCATCTAGTGGCTAGTTCTTCAGTGAGAGACTGCTGGACAGGGCAGTGGTCCAAATTTTAACCTCACAATCTACTTTTTTTCCAATGTTTTTGCAATTATTTCTATTCACATTATTTTATATCTAAATCACATAAAACCTGGTAACCGATACAATAACCATAACCTAACATTTGGGAGTAAAAACTAAGGGAGAGAATACTGTCAAGTGCAAACATACGAGTTAAAAATCAAATACGTTTTCACCAAGTTTCTATTAATCAGAAGGACTACACAGTTATCACATGTAGTGAAAAATGACTTTGTATCACAACTCCAAAACATACTATAATTCATTTTTGTTACTAAACAACACCCTTACAGGGGTAAAAGAGGCTATGTGGAGCCAACCATTATACTGTAACATTAAAAACATAGACCAAAGGAGGTATAAATGGTAGGAAAGAGCATTTTATTGTATGATTGCTTTATAGGAGAACACATGTTTCAAAAACACAGGTAATTGAAACACAACAGTAACAGCACATACCCAGTGAGGAAGATTTAAATATTATATATATGTTAACATCTTCTACAGAAGAGGCCGAGACACTGTTATGTGATATCCAGCCTTCTCCCATCAAAGCAACCCCCAGTTGCATGCAATGCTAACTCCAGTAAGGAAATTGGACCCCAGAATTTCCCATTGTCTAATTAGAAGCAAGAGATCTGCCGACCCTTAGTCAGAGTTGGGAAAGTCATCCTTTCCTTTGCCCACAAAAGGTTTGAGGCTCAGCCATGGGTTTGAGTACCTGAGTCACATTTTGCCTTTATCAAAAGAACCAATAGAGCAGCAATAACAAGTAAACAACATTTTGTTGTCATATGCTGATTAAAAGGACTCCGTCTTTGATATCTTAGATAATGAAAGACACTGAGGGTTAAAAAAAATCAATTTCCAAGAAAATATCCTTTTCTTTCTCTCCATTTAAAATCTAAAATTCCATTCCTTGAATACAAAGCTGTCAGATTTCAATTTTGGGAGCATCCTCATATTAGTGGACTTCTCTTCCTTGGTGTTTTTAAACAGAGAGAGCAAGTGTCAAAATACAAGTTTTTTAGGCACTTCCCATGAGAATTCGTTTCTTCCAAAGTGACCATAACATGCAGTTTTCTGGTAAATGGGCTTTTTTAGGTCTAAATCCCTGTGAATATTAAAAAAGAAAAGAAAATTCTTCACATTATGATAATCGTGGTATTTAACAATAAAATCCTGATGTTGATACCCATTTCACGCCCTTTATCTATGAGGCATTTCTGGAGATGCAAACACACTGGTGAACATGCTCAAATATGAATTATAAAACTGACAACAAAACTTAAACATTAAGTACTGTAGGGCTACAAAAATTACGAGTTTTAATGGAAAAGAAGTATCTCTATTTCCTTTCATAAAACAACACATATTTCTTTTTAACAGCAAGGTTTAAATTCTTGGGATAAAAAAATTATTCATTTCAATTGTGTAGACTATATAAGGCCAAAGGCTGAAAGTGTGTGAAACTGGAAAACAAATGTCACCTTTAAAAATATGGCACACTGATGGATCCATAAAAACTATCAACTCCAAAGTCTGACAAAAAGTCTCTTTTGTAGTGCATAGAACATTTTAATGCTAGCTTTGGAGGCTACTTATTAAATTGTAACATTGAATGGTTTTGTAAGTACTCAGTTCTAAGATCTGATCGCAAAGATATTTATGTATATGTGTTTCCATACCTGACAATGACTCCAGGCCGAAGATCAAAGTTTTTGTGCACAATGTCCAGCAGTTCTTTCTCTGTTCTTTGTGAAGTTCCATAAGTGAATAGTGAAATGGACAGTGGTTGAGCTACTCCTATGGCATAAGACACCTACAGCAAAAAATACAATGCAATTATCAAGTATGACACTTTGGTGGGCAAGAGAATACAAGAGACCAAAGCACTCATTCCTGAGCCTTCTGAGGAAACTGAAGGCCTCTGCTTCCTGTCCTGTAATTGTATAATCTGTATTTGTAGGGAAGAAAAAAAAAAGAGAAACCTTTGAAAAAACTGAAGTCTCTGGACAAATTTCTTCTTCATTACCTAGTCATCCCATGTTCATGACAGTAAGTGTCAGAGGGTTAAGGGCTCAGGAAATGTCTGGAAAACCTGCTGATAAAATGAAAGCTAGGTGACACATTCCAGCTTCAGGGAGCAGATGGGCTGTTAGCCACATTACAGCGGTCTTGAACCAAGCACACCAATGTATTTCTTTCTCCAGCCCCAATCCAACTGCAAGACAACTTCAAGTACAGTGCCTTGTATGACATTTGCTCAAGGTAAAGCTGAAAATGACCTATCTTTTGGAGAAAAGCAACATCCAGAACAAAACATACCTGAACCAGAACACGGCGACAGAGCTCAGCTTTCACAAGGGACTTGGCCACCCAACGGGCTGCATATGCTGCTGATCGGTCCACCTTTGTATAGTCTTTTCCAGAAAAGGCACCACCTCCGTGGGCTCCCCAGCCACCGTAAGTATCCACAATGATCTTTCTACCAGTAACACCAGCGTCACCCTAATTCAGTAAAAGAATTAGGCCATTTTACAATCCACTTTATTATAACTCTCAAGACTACACAGCCCTCTGAAGACCATGCATATATAAGTTCGCCACTTACAGATTGTTCTGGGATAGCTGAAGGACTTCTCAATGAGCTCCTACAGTGGCTATAACTGCTCTTTAAAGTCAGATTCGTAAAATAAGCCATACTTGACTGGTGTTTGGTAGCCAACCAAAGAGCTTTACATCTAGAAAGCTAGAGCATTCGGTTCCTGCTTCAAAAATATGGGAACACTATGGGAGCCTCAGTCTAAATGCAATCCATCTACCACAAACAAACAAAATAC